TTAGAACAAATATAGTTACTATTATTATAATATCATTATGTTATATTTAACGTCTTATTTTTTCATGTTAAAATCTCTATTGTGTTCTATTATGGCATCTTTATTAAACGTTAAAATAATGTATGTGCCATATGAAAGGAGAAGCACTCCTTTTTAAACACTTAACCCTTTACAACATACTTTTTAAACGTCATAATTTGCTGCTGTCTTTTGTATTGCCTTCGAGTAGAATGTCAGAAATATATAAAAGTTGTCTATAAGTGAATGCCTAATGACAAAGGATTTTTGGTGTACATACAACTTTCACTTTAACAACATAACGCTCACTAACAAAATAAGTGGTTTGGTTTTGAGAAGAGTAGGTGAGAGTGTGTACTTTGTATTACCTTGCTGGAGGTTCCCAGGTTATATAGAGGGACGAGGGGGAGGAGTCTGCAGCCGGGGGAGAGACGGCATCTGGAGCTGAAATTGTAGGAAAATTGTAATATTTGTTTATTAAAGAGCCGATCAGCACACATATACTGGTTGATAGAAGCAGAAGGGAGCGTATGAAATGCACTATGGCGAATCACAATTTTATAAAGGGTATTTATACAGCTGTGGCATCTGATGTTAATATTTTCTACAATATATGAATCTTAGCTCAATCTTCATTTCATTTCACATGATGCTTGACATTGACCCAGCTTGGAATAACAGTTCAAAAATCAGCTGGAGAAGAAAACTTGACATGATGGTCCTTGATACTAATAAAGAAGGTGAACTAAATGTTCCCGTGCTGACAGAGACGTGTTTCTACATGAGGTTTTGTGAGTTTGAAATATAGTTCTTTAGAGAAACAGTTATTAATAAGTTCTTTTTCTTCACTTTCCCTAACATGGTTCAGTGTCTTAACTCTGCGCTCAGTGAGAATCAATACAGTAATCGTTTTTTTTTCTTCTTTTACTTCAGATTGATTTTTGCCGTCTCTGCACTGACCCCTGCCGTCACATTATCTCCCCAACAAGGCCAGTTAGTGCAACACAGATTAATGTGGCGACCAACATATGAAGAAATATCTTTCCTCCACTTTTTCTTTCCTTATGTATGTAATCATCCCACTATGACCTCCCAGATGAGAAACATGTTACTTTTTACAATCTGCCTTTGACTCAATTTCTATGCACTTCATTCTCTTATCTTTTTGTGACCTGCCCTATCCAGCCGTGTAACTTCTTTATTTTCTCCCTTCCCTATTTCTGTTTATTCCAGTCTGACTTTTCCCTATATCTTGTCTTCCTAAAATCTAAAGAGCACTTAGGAGACAGTGGCATTCTGTTTATGTGGGTCCAGATGTAGAAACAGTGAAACATTAATGCTAATGGGAAGGGACAGAAACAAAAAAATATGTCGCTGGGTGTATGGATGTGTGTGTGTGTGTGTGTTTGTGCATTACAGGCTTACCTTCCTCCGGGGTTGTCAGGCTCGATCTCAAATCATTTTCTTCATCATTGTCATCATGAAGACTCTCAGTGCAGCCAACGGGACTACAGGCACTAACAGTGACAATGTATCGAGTGGATGGAGTGAGACCCCGCAGCACACCTGGAAAGGGAACTTTGTTTAAAAAAGACAACTCTGACGGACACCAGTTATATTTTGAGAACTCAGACTACTGAAGCCTCATGTAAGCTTTCATTTGACTTGTGCGTTGTGAGTGCATTTTTGTGATGTACGTACATATGTGACAAGTATATTAAGATATATCTGAAAAAATGTGAACCAATCCCTTCACAACCCTTTGTCCCGAACCCAAATGTACCTTGGTTGCATGCCTTTTACTGTCCTCTTTGTGTGTTAAAACGTTCCTAAAGTATGTATCAATCTTCTTCAAGAGTGCAATTGAAATGCTTTACTTGTCTCTATGTCACTGTTGCTAAGCAGACTTTCTGGACTTGGCACACAAGGCGAGTCTATTCTAATTGTTAAGCTTGAGTTGTCTCTCTCTGATGTTTTTTGTCCTAGCCGTCTGCCCTTTCCACTCCTTTCCGTATTTCTTAAGTCACTCCCTTCTCCTCCCCCTCCCCTCTGTGTCCAGTCACCCTGTACGTGTCTCTCTTCTTTCTCTCTCTGTTACCCATGTCTTTTAATTCAATTAAGGGCCAGGGCCCCACTCCGCTGCCATTACACCCTCATTTGCTTTCTGTGTTTTTTAGCCGTTGGTGTAATTCTGCAGTCAGGTGTCGAGGCCATCATAAATTAACAAGAAGCCTTATCACGGTGGACTTAATGTCTGGCGAAGAGAGAGGGAGGGAATGGGGAGCACCGAGAGAGACACTGAGAAAGACGGAGACAGAGAGCTCATCTTCATATTTGCCTGGAGACATGGTGGAGTGGATGAGAGGAGGGACGAATAGCAGTGGCGGACGCAGACATCATCATCATCATAAAAGATGAAGTGAGGAAAGATCGAAAAGTGAGCAACAGAGAGGGAGAGAGAGAGAGAGAGAAAAAGAGCAACGCCAGGGTATGACATCATTGGGGTAGTCCTGAGTGTCTTGTTCCAAATGGAGACCGTCTCCTAAAGCTGGGGACTTGCCAAGGAGACATTAACAGGGTTGCCTTGGACAGCATTGGTGTGTGTGTGTGTGTGTGTGTGTGTGTGTGTGTGTGTGTGTGTGTGTGTGTGTGTGTGTGTGTGTGTGTGTGTGTGTGTGTGTTTGTATGAAAGACAGACAGAAAGTGAGTGGAATAGCAGTGTGAATGTGTTTTCACTAAGGGCCAAAATGCCCTTACAGGTCTGACTAGAGGGAGGCAGGAAACCAGCTACAATAAGTTAAACCAGTCAAGTTGAATGTATTGTAAATTATCCAAGTGTCACAGTGATGCCGCTTGTTGTGTTTGTTAGTTATGCTTGCCTGGTTCTTGTTAAGAAAATTCCAGTTATCCAGAAATAGAGCAACCTCTCTTTGTATGCATTCCTTGATCCATACTTCAACTGAATATGTTTAATACACAATGTACTGCATGTCAAAATATGTTAGACATGTTTTTTTATGTTTTACCTGTGTAATTTCCATTAGCCAGGTATACGGCTCTGACAGGCGGCACTTCTGGCTGATCTCTATTGTAGGCATTCAGCTCATATCTGTCAATCAGGCCTCTGATGTCCCCAGTGGGAAGGGCCCAGCTCACCTTGGCAGTGAAGCCATTCAGGCTGTGCACAGAGGTAGGAGGTGGAAGAGACCTAGGTACTAGAAAAAGAGAGAGGGGGGGAAAATGATTAAAGAAGAGAGAAAACAGAAGAGAGGAAATCTGTTGATCATGACGGGGGGAAAGAGACAAGCAAATGTAAGCAGTAGAATACATACATTTAAACTTAGCAGTACATGATAAAACAAGAAAGAGAATCAAAGAGAGGGGAACAAACTATAAATTAGCTCAGGTAGAACTTCTGTCATAATAAATATAAATAAAATAAAAACAAAAAGGAAAATATAAGCGAGAAAAAGCAAAACAACAGATCGAGAGCACGTGAGGTTAAAGAAAAAGAACCCCCCGTCTCCATGTGTTTTAATAGGCCCAGTAAATCACACCTCACCATTAGCATAAATACTATTTATGAGAGTAGTAACTTTTTCAGCACTGATTTAATACAGCCAGCCATTCATTCTGGGCTATATTTCACAGCAATCAGCCTCCCTCCTTCTCTGAAGCACTCTTCTTCTTTCTGTCTCTGACACCCTCAGTAGGTAAGGATGATCCAGCTTCTCCCCCCCACCCCGTCACTTCCTATCTCACCACTTTATTTCCTTCCATATTTGGTTGCATCTGTTTCCATTACATCTAAATGTTTATGCTTACAGATTCATGTGATTTTTTCTTATTTCTACTCTTCTTGCTTTCCTCCCTTCTCTTTCCTCCCACTTTTTGACTCTCCCTACATCCTCTGTCCTCCCATCTTTCCTCTCGGCCCTTGTCCTCCATCCTCCTCTTTTCCTTTTAGTTCTTAATGTTTTTAGCACTTCCTCCCTCACTCTCCTCATTCCTCTCTATGGTCAAAGCATGGTATGCTGAGACCTACCAGTGTATCGTTCACTACTAACGAGCAGCTTTATATTACACAAGGGACCACACAGGCCATTCTGGGTTAACAGCCTTTTACTGGGATGCCCTTTATAGAGGCTTTATCAATCTCTCATAGCGTCAGGCACATGTAATATCACGGGCTTTGGATTAGTCTCACATACTGTACAACATAGTTATGGTTTTACATCCAGGATCTTCTAAGAACAAAAAGAAACACTATAGCAACAGGAGGGCATTCTAAGAACACAGCTTTTAACTAAAAAGGATAAATACTCTATCTACCACTGTCAATTAAATTAAAAAATGTTTTGAGTATGCTGGTGTGATTAGTAAACGCTGCAAACATAAATGGGTTCTTCTTTGGCTACTGCTACACACTTCTACCAAAGTTAATTAAAATCAGGCCAGAGTTTTCCTTTATCCTACTGACAAACAAATAGTCAAACAAAAACTATCTATACAAAAACAAAACCTTGTTGGAAGGGGGTTTACTTTTGACAAAACGTAACAAAATGCATCTAAATTAAAGGTTTTAATAACAGTCAATCAGGGTAAAGTCATATATGTTAGTGACTTGTAAACTAATGTTTTTCCGAGACAACACTTCAAAGAAATGCACACACACACTGCATGCTGATGGCGGAAGATTTGAAATACTAATGGGCCTCATCATAAGGCCTCCCTCCCTCACACTATTAGAGTGTATCAGATCATAGAGCGTAGATAGAAAGAAACATTGATACTGTAAGATACTGTGTACGGCACTGTAATGACATCATCAAGCCGGCTGTAAACATAGGTGTAAAGTACACAGGAACCGAAAGATGAGAGACATTTTACCTTTGCTTCGGCTGCGTCCCCTCTGCCAAGGTCCTGCTGCCCAACCTCCTGCAGCCAAGGCCACTATCCTGTAGAGGTACTCTGGGAAGGGCAGAGAGAGAAACACATTGATTACATAAAGAGAAAATGCATTTGAAAGATGCATGCACAAAAAAGAATCACATGTTGTCTGTATCTAAAATCAAAGTAATGATTGTCAAATGAATCCCAGGGTAATGCTAACAAGTCAAGGTTGACAATGTGTTTATAAATACAACTCTGAAAGATATATTTAAATTATTTGTTCTGAACCATGAACAAAAAAAGATGGATAGAGAAAATGACAGGTAATATGTATTTGATTAATATATGTTATATAAGATTTATAATATATTCAGTAGTTATGAATACTTCTAAGAATGGATGTTGTCTTTTAAACATTGACAATGTGCAAGAGTTTCTGTCCTTGTAGTTATGTAACTGTACAGTGTGGAGCATTACCAGTGAAAGGCTGAAGGTTATGATCTATGGCTTGTGTTTTCCTCCCACTGTACACCAACACTGAATCATTTCCTCTGCAGTTGTACCCGCTCTCACTGTTGGGACAGCCGTCTAAGTAGACTCTTACAGAGCGGCGGGAGGCGACAGAGAGGTTAACACTTTGACTGACAGGAGGGTTTGTTTCATCACTGCGTACGGTGAGACCCCTGATACAACCTCCCAGGCCTATCACAGTGGAAAGGAAAAGAGAAAAAGAAAAAGAACAGAGAATAGTAAGGAGGTGTTGGAATCTCTGAAAACGTTGTAAAATACTTGTTAAATAATAAATACCGTCCTCCACTTTTATATGAACAAGTTGAATTAGTCATGCACTTTACATTGAATGCTGCCCTGCATTGTTACAATCAAGGCAAACACGATCTGCAAAAACCTTTACTCTCAGTTGTTTACATTCATAGAAGAAAACCCAACAGGAGCCCACAAACAGGTTAATGTCATGTTTGATCAGTTTAGTTGCACAGACGTATACTACAGCAACCACAACCACATGAATTGGTGCTTGGTCATCACCTGCCCTTCAGAGAGTCTAAAAGTACTGATAATACCGTACGTTCTCACCATGTTTGTGACTTCGACTGTCAAGAGCCGGGTGTATAAGCTCCCTGGGCACGCCCCCCAAATATAATGGGGAGTCCACTCTCAGCCTCAGTGCTCCTCCCACTCCCCTTGTCTCCTCTGCCCAGTCATTAACTGCAGCAGAAAGGAGCGGGCCATGTTTTGCCAATGAAAACTGTTTCCAGTCTCCATCGCAGTAACTCAGCCCCACCCACATGCTGAGTTCAGTCACGTGACCTTCAGACGCAAGAATTAAGGAAAGGATTCCGGCTTCTAGCTCCACCTAAAAGAAATAATGACAAGCTTAAGTCATGCATTTCTCAAGTTGTATTTAAGTATTCAATCAACAATCATTTAAAATGTGTCTTTGTTTCTTACCAGCATGTAGTCTTCAGTTTGTGTGTTGTATGTAAAGAGCAGAAGTGCATTGAGCTGGTCCGTTCTGAAATCCATAGAAATGTCAAAGTCCTGCCCTCCACTGAAAACGTCTCTGTCCATTTCCAGGTAACCTGAAACAAAGAGGAATACTTGCCAGCTACAGTACATGCCAATGTATTACAAGGCTAGAGGTTAAAGAAAGAAAGCAACGTCTTCCGGTATACAGGAGACCAATACAATTTTAGTCACAATTAAACTGTATGACATGTTTTTAGTTAAAATCTCTTTTTTCATATTTTCAAGAGTGGCAGACACATTAAATACAGATGAAAAGGTCCATTTACAAAGCAATAATGGAATAAAGTACACGGATGAACCTGATCTTTCACACAGAGACCAATTAACTTATCATCATCATATTTATCAACATGAAACAACATCCTCATTATCACCAACACGACAGCAAGCATCTTATTAAGATGCAGTGTTGCCAGTGTATTAGAGACACCAAATCCACTTAAAGCTGCAATCCAACACAGCTTTCTAATGAAAAGTCACTCCGCAGAGTTTTTCTCTGCAATGCTAATACCCTGTTACCCAAAATTAGAGTATGAAGTATTGTGACAAACTGTAGGTTATAGTTTCTTTCTTAATTGGCATAAATGTTTGTGGAAAATGGTTATGTTGGCGTGCATTGTCCTTGTGAATCAAGTAAATGAACAGAAATCATCAAAAAAACATATACAGTATGTTATCAACAAAGGATCCTACCATGACCCAGAAAATGGGCTCCCTCCACAGTTTGAATAGGGCATCCCTCCCAGCTTTCATACACTGACTCCTTATTTGTGGCTTTTGCCCAGTCCAGAGATTTCCAATCCTCTGAGGGGCCGTCAGTCATCTTAAAACTCACGTCTCTAAGGCAACCAGAGAAACCCTGTCGCACTAGCCGAGCATCACCTTGTGGGACAGACAAGAATACATGAAAAACACTTCAAAGGTTTCACTCCATGCGTTCATACAGCTTTAGGTTAAACATTTTGAGTTTCAGTTGTCAGTGGCAATTTCCCAATGCTTATAATGCAAATGAATGTGGTGAAGCATAAGACCCTGGATAAGATAATGACGGCACATTGAATAAAGACAGTAAGTTGTTCTCAAAGTTGTGGGACTGGCCCTCAACCATGTGACTTTTAAAGATGTTACTCCTTCCTGTATAACATTTTACGAGGATACATGACTCCCATGTAATTGTGGGATGCTGCTTGTATAAAAAAAATTGAGGTAATTTGAGCAAAATCCCATTTCCTCCTTGGAGAGTCATTAACATAAATACAATAAATTCAAAAGACAAACCAAGTGGAGACATTTAACAGACCTCTCTAAATATTAGAATTGATACACACTAACATATTATATAATGAAATGGAGTGTTTGACAATGGACATACCTGAATCCTCCCTTAACAAAGTAAAGTCTTCAGGCAGCCCGCCGATGAACATCCCTGTGTTTTCCCCAATAATGGTGCTGCCGCTGGACGCTGACGCACTTCCTGTTGGGGAAAGTGTGGAGTGTAGAGAGGATAGGTTAAAAACAATCTCATTTACCCATATAGAAAGGAATTGAATAAGATCTGAGGATAACGGAGGGGCATGAGGTGTGTTTCTGTGTGTGTGAAGCTCTATTTTTCTCATTAGACACAGAGTGGCTGGGATTAACCTTTCTAATACCTCCATGCAGCACGGGGGGATTTACATAAATAGAAACACACGCACAAACATACATACAAACAAAATCTCACACTATACACATCCAAGCAGAGGATCTCAACCTCGCATGTATACTGTAGATAAGCAAAAATGCATTTACACTCCCACTCACAGAGCAGATACACACAGTGGTCAGTATGAATATGAGAAGAGTTACCTCTGTATTGATTGTTTACAACGATTGTTCCCACGGCCCCTCGCCTTGTTGCTATGATGCTGTGCCATTGTCCATCATTGTAGCGGCGCCCCCCATCACCATGTACACTCACAGCCACCGCAGAGCCCTACACACACACACACACACACACGCAAGATTTAAACACATTTACGTTTATGGTATGTGAAGACATCCTCTGACCATTGGTCTTACAGTTCTCTAAAGTAAATATTTGACCTCTGGTGCAAAAGAGAAGAAGTTTTAAATCACAGTGCAATCAAACACGCTCACTTTGTAACATTACAAATGATCGCTTCTTTATCCCTCTGTTGTGCGAACAAGGTTAGACATTAAGGATCGATGACACACATCAAACACCACCCTCAAAAGGACACCAACATGCACATATAATCATCAAAGTGTTGTTACAGGACTTTTTGCTACCTATTAAGTATGACATCATTGTTGTGATCAGCTTTTAGCAAGTAGGCAAAGACACAAGAGTAACGGGTATACGCACACACTCACACAAACAACATATATCCACACACAGATCACACACAGTGATGAAGATTTAATGATGAGATCAATAAATGTATGAATGCCAGAGTATATCAGCCTTTGACATCTTTACAACCATTGCTAGACAGCTCTACTTAACAAGACAACATGGGAGGAGTCTCTCTATTGCTCTCTCTTTCTTTCTGTGTTACACATTCACACAAACACACACATCTGAATCCATTGTCTGAGAGACTCTGGCAATGGAAGCAACTAACATTCAACTCTCAGAAATCTACCACCAAAGTGCCATTGAGTAAAAACATAATAACTGGACAAAAAACTAACAAACACAAACCAATTCAAGCAGACACAGACATTGACACATTATTTAACAAACACAGGCAAGTCACTTAATTCGCCTGGAAACATAGATCTTCCGCTAAATCCAGGTCACTCATGACGTGCTTTCAGGTCTTTAGCCTTCACTGGAGTTGCACAGCACTCAGCTAAGGTGTGTGTCCGCTGTTTTGACAAGGCCCCAATGCCCAATCTCTTTAATATACAGTCCCTGATACTGGAAGCTGATGGGCACACACACTCTCACACAAACCAAATAAAAAGCACTTATCCAAAGTGCTGCCCCTGCGGATATTCCAGCCACACTTGGCATCCCGCGAACAGAATGCGAGCATATATGGGTGTGAATCTGATGTATAATGCCACGCTTAAGGTGCCAATGTGGTCAATCCTGGCAAAACCTTAGCAAAAACTCCTCCAGAATCTGAAAGGTGACTGGAAGTCTTTTCACGTTTAGGTTGTGACATATGCAATAAATTGAATAACGTTAAGGTACATTTTTGTATAGAGAACAGTAGATTGAAGTGGAGTTTGTCTGTTAAAAAGTTGGAATGGGTCAAATAGAAATCCCTATAATAATTGACCAATAGAGGTATAGCCTCCAAAAGGGTATCAAAGTATTCACCAATCATATATATACAGTATATACGCATGCATACTCATACAGACAAATAGAAACATATATACATATACACATATTAAGAGGTATAAGAGGTATAAAGTATAGAAATAAAAAGTTGGCACAACAATAAATATATAAAGACAGCAGTCTACACACAATATTGGACAGAGACGAGTGTAAGTCTAGACTCTAGACTATTAGCCTAGACTTCTAAACGGAATAATTAATATATAACAGCAGGCAGCTGTGCAAACGACAGTAAATGCAACATTTAGGAGTGCTATTGAGGGGCTAAGATCTGGTTCATTTTCGTAAATGTCAGTTTACATGTTATCTGTTGTTGAAGATTACAATGTCTTCTCCTCGAAAGGCAAGAGCACTGTCAGATTACATTATGGGTTTTTGACACTTGTCTTTTTGCCAGCAAATGTATTTAACAGACAGTGACAGCTAACGAGTGAACCTGATGAGATCTACATGTGTAATCTAGTATCACAGCATGTGACAGACAGTGCAGTTACCAGTTACTACTGACAACCAAGAGCCACTGGTCTATTAAACACCGCTCACCTGCATCAATAGAGTGTGAACCGTTTGTGTGTGCGTCTGTGTTCCCACAATGTTAAATAGTTTGTGACACTAAGATTACTTAAATTCTTTGGTCTTTCTCTTCAATGAGTGACAGCAAATGTCTTTGAGTGTCAATTTGTGTGTGTGTGCGTGCATGTGCGTGTGCGTGTGTGTGTGTGTGTGTGTGGCAGCTCACATGTGCACATATTTATGAGCATATCACTTTCCTGTGTCATGCTAAATTACCCCCCCTGCACTAGTAATCCCATTAAGGCTAGCTCAACAGGCTAATAGGGGGAAGTAATGGGCCCAGCTATATGTATCTAGGGGAACACTAATAAGCCGTGACACCACTCCCACTGTTAATTACCCCAAACTAGTCTAAACAAAGGAATCAACCCAGTTGGAGAAGACACATACGCTCCATCGCCCACGTAGCAGTACACGTAACCAGAGACACACACATTAGCACTGCAAGTCAACAAGAGTCTTTTCGGTGACGTAAACTACTCTCACACACAGATACCTCCCATGGTAACATTTTGATGAGGGCTTTTTGATAATGAGAATTGGATAGTGATGAGGAAGGAAAGTGTGTTTGTGTGTGTTTGTTTGAGTGTGTAATTAGTTGGTGGCCTCATGGAAGTATGTGTAATCATCTCCCATCATCACTTTCATCATCTAAGTCGTTGACTCTTTAACCCCTCTACATGTGTCTGTATCGATGGATAAGGGAAGCAGGGCTGAGTGTGTGTGTGAGTGTGAGTGTGAGTGTGTGTGTGTGTGTGTGTAAGGGTGCAAAGCTTAATTAGCTTGCAATTGGTATTCACGCGTGGTGACTGCAGGGAATGAGTTAATTGCAGTCCAATTCAAACGTTGACACACTTTCAAAGTTTTTTCCCCTCTCCCTGTCTCCCTGACAGAAACCAATGAGGGGCTACAGATCACATTTATTAGATGAGAGCAAGTGAGAGAAAATGGGAGAGAGACAGCGAGAGAGAAAGGGGGGGAAGAGAGGAAGACAGAAAGACAGAGGTGGATCAGAATAAAAAAGAGAAAAAGAAAAGTGAAGGTAAGTAAGTGAGTTAAATTAGTAGATTCCAATAATAAAGGGATATATACAAAAATGTGGATGAAAAAAGATGCATAGATAGGTAAACAAAATATGGTAAGATGTTTACTAACAATAGCAGTACATCTAAAAAATAAATAATAGTTTATCATGTCCTTTTCTCAAATATGGCACTGTAAATGAAAGTACACTCAGGTGTGTGGGTTTTAATTATAGTCAAGCTGGATGGAGATTATGTGGAAGTCCCTCAACAAAAAGTAAAAATAAGGAACACTCAAACAAAAAAATATAATTAATAATAATATTTAATAATAGTAATAAAACCAACAAATAAGAGCAATGCTTGTTGTTGGCACCTGTCAGTCAGTTTCTTTGTACTCACACTTTTTCAAGTTGTAAAATAAATGTTACATACCTGTGGATCGAACAAAAAGTATGGACGTCCATTTTTGAGCTGAATAGCGAGGAACTCTTCCTGACTTCCTGGAGAGAAGGCACAGAGCAGCAGGCCGTCTGGAGACTGAGTCTTGAAACTCAACTCAACACCTGATATAAAATGAGATAGAGAAAAGAGAAAGAGATGCATTTCATTTCTTTAATTTCCCCATAGGATATAATTTAACAAAATGTTATCATACATATCCAATATAATAAAAAATGCAAAATCACTTGGGGGTTAGTTATAAGTGTGTTAATTGACCTGGATATCCCTCTGTTAAACTGGACCATTGCAATATCATTACACAATGTTTACAGTCCAACCTTAAACGAGGTGTGAGCACCAATTCATTTGGTTGTGATCTGCATATAGGGCCTTTTTCTGTCCTCATTTTACAATTTGCAGATACAGCCCAATTTGTTCTATTTCAAAATGCTATAAAGATTGTATAGAAAAATATAGCCACCAACTGGAAAGACAACACATTTAAGTTCTAAAAAGAATTATACCGAGCAGGCTAACTGACCAAATAAAGGAGTAACATCGTATTCCAATACAGCTGTCCTGCTTCTTTTGTTTTAAAGCATACTGTGAAATCAAAGCTTCAGCAATGTGGGAAATGTGTAGATTTCCCTCTAACACACACACACTCGCACAGAATTCTTCTAACGTGCTGTCTTGTCATGTTGCTATGGATCAGAGATTGGATCTTAATCCACTTCTAGATCCACATAGTGACACAGAGCATGCGATTTTACGTTTGCGTTTCCTCATCTCTGTCTGTCTCTGAAGAGAACAGAAGTGTGGGAAGATCTGAGGAGTTGAATGGAGGCAGTCCAGGGTTCATCAGAAGCCGGTGTTTGCAAAATAATTAGTGTGTGAATTCACTTAACATAGAGAGAAGTCAAACAGTTACACGGTAAACTCAAGATGAATACAAATTATCCATGTAGCTCGCAGCTTGCACACTATTTTGAATGAAAAATATCTGTTCCATGTTGTCCAATTGTTACATGTTAATCGAATGGTGTTACGCTAGTTGTTATAAAGCAAAACATGGCTGATATAAAGCAAAACATGGTTACAGAAATAAGCAGTGTCCCAGTCCTAGTAGCAATTACATGTGTCAGAGTCTGATTTCTTTTGGACTGGACAAAAAAATTACCGGCACACATGCTACAAACAGGATTCATTTCATAGATAAGAGCATGTACCCTTTGAAAAACAAAAAAATCCATTCCGGATGTGGCTTGAGAAAAACTCTTTTAGTTTTGCCATAATCATCTTATATTAGTATGTGGCTCACAAGGTATCACAGGTTTGCCATTTCCATTTCAGTGCAGGATATAAGTGATTTAGAAGATAAACTGGGCATACTATACATGTGACAGAATGACAGGAAAGAATCATTGCATTTTCCTTGCAGAATCCAAGGCTGAAAAGCCCCTTGGATCTAAAAGGAATGTAAAAGTGGCTTCTTATAATGGTCCCATTTGGGCAGTATACTATGTATTGATTACCAAAAGTGCACAAAATAAATAGCTTTACCTCAGTTAATGAATTCTAAACAAGTCTACATGGAAATACATGTGCATTAATTGTGGTGGTAGTATGTGGCTAAGACAAGACCAAGAAGTTGTTTACATTGAACTTGCATTCTGTGCATCAAGCAGGCATCCGTCATTTACATTCATGACCTTGTCACCACAGAGATGAGTGAAGTCATGACAGATACCTGACATTACATTACCCCCCTTTAACCTTCTCTGTGTCCCACTCTCCTGATCTCTCATTCCTTCCTTTCTTCCTTCCCTACGCTTTTAACCTTCCTCCCTTTTTTTCTTGACCTTTCCATTCCATCTTTCCCCACCTATTGCTTCATCTGAATATGTTTTTCTCTCCTTGCATCTTCAATTTTCTTTTGACCTCCTTCACTCCCAACTGTGCTCCTTCTCATGTATCCTACTTTACTATTTTTCGTCTTAACGGTGTTGTAAACAGTTATCCATTGTTAAAAAGACAGCAGATGACATCAAAGTGAGCTTTTTATTGTGACGTAAACATAGCGAGGTACAGATTCTATCACACACAAACACACTCGCAACCAATTCTGTACACAAGGAAAAAGGCCCTTTGGACTACGGCGCACACTCAAAGTATCTGACAAGAGAGAAACAGCATAACTATTATTACTGCTTCATCAGCACAGAGGTTCATGCACATGTATGCAATGCAAAACAACTGTGATGCATTCTGATATATCTTTAGATAAAGATACCTATTATGACACAGTGGTTTTGATTAAACATATTGTCAACAGTTAAATCTGCATTCACATTTATCACAGTCGCTCCCTGTAAGGCCAAACATCATTGTACTACTTTTAATATCCAATATCAATTAACAGGAATTAAAATTAGCTATATCAGTAAAACATAACAAAAATGAAAGTGCATGCAGGACTCTTCAGGTATATAGGAGTATATCATTATATGTAGGTATATAAAAAAAGGTAAATGGACAGTTACATATATTATGGGCGAATTTTCTACACCCCTATGGTGCAACATCCTGAACTTTACTGGATGATGTTATTTAGTTTCACTATCTTAACATGGACCCGGAGCTCACGTTTCCTCATGTCATGTGATGTTTATAAATGATTATTCAAGATATCCAATCCAAGTCTTGCAGTTGCCAAAAAGCAGTAATGGTGTAAAATATTGTTGAAAAGTTCCTTTGACCCTATTTGCAATGGCAGATCGCAAGTACTTCCTGTATTGATCTTTGCTTTACAAATAATCGAGCACATCATTATATGTTTTCTTATAATAAAAGGTCAAGAGATGCATGCAAGGTCACATTAATAAACAACTGTTGTTGTTTGCCTATAACGCAGAGCCTGTTTTTGTGAGATGTGCAATAAGGTAAGAAACACTGTCAACATATGCCTGGCCGTGGTGTTTGGTCCAAATGCATGGCATCTAAGTGACACTGCTCATGCTCAGCATTACTTCCTTCAGGTTTCCCCACAGGACTTGTGCTACTTCACACTGACAACCACTTTGGAGCCATCACCAGACAAACCTGAGCACACATCCTGACAGGTGTCTCTGTTACATATACAGAGTACATGCAAGCAGACAAGCACATGCACAGTTCAACACACAGACACAAAACAGCAGCATGCACTTGTTCACCTGAGAGTGCACAACAACGCCTAACAGAAACACAAATGCTGCTAAATATAACAGTACATTTTTACACAGCAGGCCTTCACTCCTCACAAGTACAACATGTGTGAATGCGATGGACAACCAAATCATTTTATTATATTTAAATCGGATGTACTATATCATTAGTTCTAGCAAAATGTCACCTAATGGTCATGCCCAAAGTAGTGAATTCGACCACTTTTGTTGTCTCTTGGGGGGTTTGGTAAACAATCAACAATTGATAATAGGACCATCCTCTGGAGAGTATATATGTCTCATTACATTATGAAACATTTGTTATGCAAATGGTAACACAATTTGGCCAAGATGAGAATATATCATGCTCATTGGCAAAGTGTTGAGATCAACTGACCGAACAACAGCCCGGACCTAAGGCCTACACTTGCAAAAACATATTATTTAAATGTATGTTTATATTATTAAATTCACTTGGGATGAGTTTACTGGACAAGGCTCTATGTGATCTACAGAATGTAATGTAGAATATCAAATCAGCTCTACTTCACATCTGACCAGAACATGAAGAGTATGATGGAGAAATGTTTTCAGAGACCTTTGTCCATAAACATTACCTGTGTTGTTTCACAGGAAGTTTATTTCATGAGCAATATATTACTCAATGTACTGTAAAGAACATTTTATGTCCTACAAGTACATAAAACCAATTATTCTCACACCATCAACTCTGGAGTTGTTAAGTGAGAGAATTATATTGTTTGAATTGAGTCTTTTGTAAATTAAAAATCATTTTATTGTCAGTTTATTGTTCATAATGAAGGTACTGTTCCCCTCTCTGTGTGATATAAAGAGAATTACTTTCATATGTAAAACTAACAAGTGGCAATAATCATCCATTTACAGTTTTAAGTATAGTGTTATTTATAAGGGAGTATTGTTTCTTGTGTTATGGTATTGTTTCTCCTCTCTCTGTCTCGGTAAACAGTGGAGGTTGTGTGCAATCATCTACACAACATAACCTGAATAACTCCAGTCATGTTAGCTCTGCGCTGGCATTAATCAGAGCCTGGCGTATTAATGAGAGCGCGGCAGCAAGCTAATTACACCCATAGATTCTGCAGCAGCCCATTAAATATACAAATGACAGAATTAAAGAGCCCAGCCTCTTCTGATTAATCTTTAAATGGGGAAAAACTAATGATGTCTGTGCAAACTTTCCCTTCACACATTTCTCCCCCTCTCCTTTCAACGTCAACGCCTGGCAATCAATCATATTAATTAAGGAAAAATAATTTGTATCATTTAACATTTCCCTCTTTCCTGCTCAGTTGCTGCAGTGCAGCAGCAGCAATGTACTGTATTAGACATGTCTGGAAATTATCCAAGTCTATTTGTTCCTGCATTCATTTATTTTCTTTTTTTTCTAAACTATGTTTGTGATGTTTCATCACTCTTCATTTACTGTGGGTTGTAGAAATACATCTGGATTAGTGAAAATATGAGCAGGCCATCATCCTCTTTGCAATCAGCCCATTTCAGGCTCAAACACTGAAGAATTATAAATGAGGAGATAGGATTTTATAATCTGTTTAGAACCGTATCCTTAATTCAAAGATGAACAAGGAGAGCAGGAAGTCACATTGTAGCGCTTTGAGACTGAAGCATTACAGATAAGATGAATGGACTAACATGCATTTATGGAAACAAGCACTTACAGGGTATTCATATCATAGCATGATCGCATATTATTATAATCCTGTTTTTATCTAAAGTAAGATTCAGTGTGGTAAATATTGACCCCAAGTACCCTAAATTCATTCAGCATTAGGAAGCATCGTTTATCACAAGTGAGCAGACATTATTATGGAATCATTATGGAAACATCCACTTCTATCACAATAACTGCATATGGAAAGCAACCTATTTGGCTAAAACTATTTAAGTAAAGTGGCTATAAATAACAGGTGAAAGGGTAAATATCATGTGATTTTACATGGTAATCAATTTTGATTCTAAATAAGATTTAACACAAAGAATATTGCCCTTTCTCAAAAATGTACCCTTAATACACATCTGTACGATAAAGACTGTAGTGACATCCTGTACCTTTGGAAACAACAAACTACTTATATTCCAAGAATGGAGCGTAATATTAATGGGAAAATTATGAAAGAACATTGATGGAAAAAATATTAAAGAATATTGATAGAAACATTATGATCTACTGTTTCCTATGGAAAGCCCTTTATGATCTTTAGTCGCAATAAAACTGAGGATGAAAGACAAACAAACTCATCAGTAAAGAAAGATTTTCACAAGACTAAACTGAACAAAAAAGACTATCCAAAGATTTGACTTGTATAGAATTTCTCCAGTTGTCATTGTCGGAGTTACTGGGTTTCCATAAGACATCAACGATTGACGAGTCTCTCCTCTGTGATCAATTGACTCTCGAGGGGACATTACACTGCATTACATTCATAATCCAATTTGGCTTTGATTTGTTCGCTGTTCCATGCGCTTCGATGGGAATAATTGTCTGTAGATGATGCTATTAGTATTGATGGTTGTAAAAGGGCGATGGTTTGAGGACTGCCGACACATTCATGGTCCAGAATAGATCCGGTCTGAAAGTGATTGTCTGATCCATTACCCTTTATGAAGGAGGAGATGAGAGGCACCCCTCATGGGCAAAATCATCTATTTACTGGCAGTTTTCAGATATGTTTATTTACCTTTGCGCTAAAGGGGCATGGATGAAATAAAATAATCATATTTGGTTGATTTTTGATAAAAACACAGCGGTCAGAAAAAGAGCAATGCACAGGAACTGGGAGCCATGAACAAAGATGAAGAATGGAAGTAAAGCTGGTGGGATTTCTTAACTCATAACCACATTTCATTAGGACAACAGTTCATAGAATAACACATACATTCAAAAGGTAAAGTCATTTTGGAATTCTATGCTATAAATAGCTTTTGATCTTAATATAAAGCAACATTTTAATAGATTACATGTTCTATCTCTTAGGGTGGCTACCAATTCAAACACAATCATTTCATTCTTTCTCAATTACTGTGCGACCTTCAAAAGCCCTTTACAAAAACAGAATTTTCTACTTACCACTATGATGCAGTAAAAAAAAAGACAGGCTATCTGTGTGCAGGGAAGCTCAAAGACCGCTCAAATATCCCACTCAGAGATCCTCTCTTTGGTATTAAGACACTGACAATCTGTTATGGCTGAAAACTTCTAATATTTCAAATGGGAAATCAACAGTTCCCAACTTTGCCAGTGGCAAACATATTTGAGTATTTTAGTTAGAAACAAAATGATGTGACAAACCAATGTGAGAGCTTTGTTGACTCACTTTCACATAAGGATAACAGATGAAAGTTTTATCTTGGGAATTTGTTACCCGATTCAGAAATATGGCTTGTATTTTAAAGTTTTACCATGGCTTGGAAAGGTTTTATCTGAGAATTACATTTAAATATATACTGTAGATAAAGAAAGATAAAACTGGTGTTAAAAGGTTTCTGCAGGACAGTGAAGAAATCTCAAGTGGCGTCAAAGAGCTTTGCCCACTCAAATCCCACTGATTAGTATCAGCAGTCATTAATTATGAGCGTCAGACTGGGTGATGTTCTGAGATGAACCGGCACATGTTTGGCTGTGCAGCTCAACCCTCTAATGATGCTGGTAAACAGAAAGATAATTGTCCTTTAAGATGACTGGGGAAGTCATTCTCAAAAAGCGTCACTAGAAGACTGAGAGACTGCGGTACGATCACCGAACACAAAAACATACCAGCAAACAGGTCCGGGTTTGTAAGCATGTGAACATACTCACTTTACTTTACTCACATGCACAGTATAAATCCATGCAGACAGACACGTCGTCCATTTTTTGATACACACATTGATTTGCATGTACCCAGATATACTCTCTTACCTGTGAAGTCAGTGTTGGCAGGAAGGGTGTCACTGGGAAACTGGTAGAAACTGTTTCCAGAGAATCTGGTTCCTCTGACAACAGGACCCCGTGGCTCAGAGAGAGAGACATCTATCCTCTCCACCTGTAAACAAATAAATGGTATACAATAATATTAATATACAGCAACAATACTCAAATCCTTACTTAAGGATTATATAATAGTAATCATGAACTTGTTATTTTGTTTTATTCCACACCAGCTTACTACATTAATTACAATTTATACTAAATCATCCAAGTGCAGGTCCATATTTCAATTTAAAAGTACTAAAAAACACAATGTCAAGAGGCCTATACCGTATTCGAGAAAATTATCTTATAGACCTGATACAGTGGGTGTGGTCCATTGAGTTGGGATGGGGGGTCCCAGTCTATCTGAATGGTGGTATCATTGACTGGATGTAAGTGAGGTGGAGACAGTCCTGTTGGAGCTGAGGAGACACAAGGCAGATAAGAAATGTAAGTAATAACTTTAACAACTTTGTTAAATATCTGTCTTAAATGTGAGCACATAGAAACACAATCCACAACTCTTAACCTACTCTAAGGCATTTTCATGTTGTGAATTTGATCATTGATAAAAATGATTGTTTGATCTTGATATTTTTTTCTTTCATTAGAAAAATGACTTTAGCTCATTTATCTCACACCTACTGCATGTCTAGACTGCACAGTCCAATTTTCATTTACCGGAGGGTCAATTTAATTTCCTTCTTTCACTTTAGATGTTAAATTAAATGTCCCTGTGAAACATACTGGGCGCCACTTGAGCCGTAGCTTCAACATACGTATCATAAATAAATCAACCGGAGACTGGCGGATATGAAGAGAGGAGATATATATATGAAGGGAGAGAGAAACATAGCAGGTGATGGACTGGTGTAGAGATGGGAAAGATGTGCGTGCATTAAGTGTCAATCCGTCGTTGTGCTTCTGTGTGTATGTGTGAGTGTGTTTCAGTAATGGTCTAAATGGTCTGTGGTAGGAGTAAATTAGCTCTCAGTGACACACATGCGGACCGTCTTAGTGTGAGTTCTAATAGAGCTCTTAAAAGGGAAGTGGACAGCTTGTCTTAGGCGGCTCATCTTGGCACATCAAACCATAAATTACTGCCAATCGATAGCTTACCAGTCTATTGAAATTGAGCTATGGTGACATTTAGAACATTGAAGGTGCCACACGCACACACATGCATTCACACGCACATTTTGGTAAAGTGGTGTACTTCTATGATCAGAATCAGAATAAGGTTGCCATGTAGGTTATTCACTTACTAGGAATTTGCCTTGGTGTTTGGTGCGTACTTTAAAGATATTGAGATGAAGCATTTCATGGCTTGAATCTTTCTGTAGCAGACCTTTATCTGAGCCTTGTAGTATGTTAACATGAGGCGACATAAGTATTTCCTGGGCTTCTGATTGAAACCCAGTGGCAAAATGGATAACGCTCTGCTGGTTTTAAGTTTTGATCAGACTGGGCTGACCTCCTGGAATAACCCTGGGAGAGGTCGGTCTGTGAGACTGCTATGTTACTGTTGGTATTATAACTGAATTACTGGAGCTATTGTCACCTTTGAAGGCACTAAAAATCAGTTAACAGAGAGTAGGTCTACTATACTGTATAAGTGGGGGTTAGGCGATGATTCTTGATCTCTTCTCTTCAGAGTTGACTCCAGTTATTGTAAAATGTTGGTGAAGTTTATGAGAATAATTTCACTTTAACAGTAAAAACTACATGTATGTGATCAGTGAACATTTAAAAGTGAAAGTGACATTGGAGTAATGCGATCACATTGTAAAAATAAGCCAAGAAAACGTAAATGTCTTTAGGTACGTTTCAGGTGATAGTAATTTGTTTGCATCGGTTTGTTTTTGCAGTGTTTCGTTTGTGCAGCGCTTTTAGTAAACGCTGCGCATGTTTCGTCAAGTTGGTGAAGATTTTTCTTGTTTGTGTTTTCCAATTCATGTTTTTTTATTTGCAATTATTTTTAAACTGCAGAGCATTTCTTATTATGATAATGTTTTGCACCTGTTTGCCACCGTAGAGAATCCTTTTACAAACAGATTTATACCAAAGTGGTAAATATATATAAAAAAACAATTGTATTTCAAATGATCTTTTAGGTGCAACAGCCACTGAAGTATTGTTGAGTTGAACAAAGTAACATTATTGGGGATACCGGTTGTGTTTATTAGACGCAATATTGTCATCAACAACCAGCACTCTATCACCATATTTAAACAGACTCCAAAGGACAGTGTGTGTATGTTTGTCCGTGTGCATTGTGTCATACCAGACAGCTTTCCTTGTTGATCGATGAGATTCTAATGTGCTGTCCCCTATTCTTAGGGTGTCATGTATTCATTTATTGCATCTGCTTGTTAATTCACTGAAATGTACTTAACACTATGACACATTGAGTTGACGAAAGCCACTTGCCTCATCATGCGTGTGCTGAAACGCACACATGTACAGCCACACACAAGGTTAGCAGTCCACCAGAAAGGTTAATTTTAGCTGCCGACATGGTAATGAAGCAGCTAAATCATGGGCCAGCTCCCAGGAGCAATTGTGCATGTGTGTGTGTTTTCTGTTTTTACAGCGACTGACATGTCTTAACAGGCTCTTAGCGTACAGTTACACCACGCACACAAGCACACCACTTATTGACATCGCGATCCCTTGCCATGCATATTTCTCCCCTCAAGAAGGGCCTCAGGCCAATTATGCGTAAATCAATAAAGTTCCTGTTCTGTTGAGTGGTGTTACAGTGGGAGTGTGTATGTGTGTATGTCTCTCTGTGTGTATGTCTTGTAGAACAAGTCTTTATGGATGTAGGATACATAAAACATCACCATCAGCCCCTGATTAGCCACTCACTTTACGTCTTGATCGATAACTTTGTGGAAAGACACACACATTGAAACAATTGCAAATGCATCCACACACATGGAGCGCGAGCGCATTCCTTGTGTCGTTACGTCTGTCTCAATGTGCGCGCTAATGCTCAGTCATGTGCTTTGGTGTAACTCCAGTGGTTTCGCAGATGCCGTCTGCTCACTTACAGCAGATGGTAGCTGGATCTAATGGCCCAGCCTTATGTGGCGTAGATTTATCAGTGCATCAGTACCACGCTCAAGTACACCCTGCCAGGAGTACCACTTAATGTGAGGATCATTTCCTGTTTCATTCAGGAGATGTTCATTTCGAGACCAAATGTAACATTTTAGACAAATCATGCAGAAGTTTTCAGTTTTTCTGTCGATTTTTACAAAAAATGTGGGCTTAAGATGTCAAAATGTATTGGGAGAAAACCATAGACTGAGAAAACCTAAGAAAATACTTTTAGACATATTTATTCATAATACATGTAGCTCTGTGAGCTACAAGCCCTGCATCAACAGTATAGATTGAAGTGAGGTTTTACTCGGACTAAGATTTGTTTGGTTTTCTCTCTGCAAGGTTTTTCCCAAAAAATAAAATCGAATGAAATACTGTATATATATAATATGTTATAGTTTGAACAGACTGAAGGATGATCAAACAGACGGAGGCACGCACAGAAGTACATAAAACATAAATCCTGCAGCCACAGCTTTGTCAGAATGAAAGCATAAAATATATAAATAAATATTTTCTAAGAAAATGAGGCGTGGAGCTGCAACAGAAGCTCAACACCCAATGGAGTAGCACATGCTATGCAAATTGTTTAGAGATGATAAAAAAAATCTGCCAAACGGCATATGCCCTTATCATTTCTTATAGTTGAAACAAGGGACATCTTTGGCGTCGGATGAAACAAAATGGTAGGAACAGATGTGGCTGTTAAAAATACATTCAAAAAGTCAACTGGGTACAATAAGCCATATTGTATTGTACTGTATTACAGTCATGAGAAGTCTTTGGAATCACTTGAAATAAACATTGTCGCTGTGTCAACAGATGCAGCCATTAAAAATACATTTAAAAAGTCCACAGATTACAATATAAAGTATCATTCATCACAATAAACACAAGGAAGGACTTTTTCAGAATTGTTAGAAATGAAAATATTCGTTATGTCAACAGATGTAGCTGTTACGAGTACGTTCAAAAGCTCAAATCCCTGAGCAAGTATTTATAGATGAAAGGTTGGGGTATTTTTTCAAAACCACTCGGCGCATCCATTGTCTATTTACCAAAAGGGATAAACAAAACAAAACAGAAAAAGACATAAAATGAGCAGCAAGAGCAGAGAGAGTTCATGAGTGAACAGATGGAAACGAGTGTTGGGAGTCAGGTGTGTGTGTGTGTGTGTGTGTGTGTGTGTGTGTGTGTGTGTGTGTGTGTGTGTGTGTGTTATGTATATTTCAGAGTGATTCATGTTTCCCTGCTGCAATGTGCTATTTTGTGTTTAAGTGCAAGCGCCAGGTAGAGATGGAATTGAAGCATAGATTAAGAGAAAGTGTGTGACAGAGCAACAGACTGTCAGAGAGAAACTGACGGATTAAGACAATGAATACAAATCCTGTAACTGCGTGTGTGTGTCTATGTCATCCTGCACTGATCAATTAGTACTCATCTCAGTCCCATAGATTTTTGCCTGAGTTATTAAACACAGCCAATTCATTACCATTCCATAATGGTTATACATCTCAAAGAGAGAGATTGTATGTGTGTTTCTGTAACTCTGTGTGTGTTTGATTCATGGCCAGCAGGAAGTGTGTGCTACGCCACATTTTTCTCCTTGTAATTAACAGTAAATTGTTTTTACTGCCGCGTGCCATGAATATCCCCTCCGGTTAACACAACCATTGCTGTCTCCACTCAAGTACCCAATGACTGACTGTGTGCTTTTGGATACGTGTGTACATATGTCAGAGGCTTGTGTTGCAGTAGTTATAAAGAGAATAACCCCACAAGTATTTTATGTTACTAAGCTGCTATTATCTCTCTGCAAAAACAATCAGCATCAGCATTTCCATGTTTTCAAATTTAGTTTTTATAAAGCTGATTACTGTTGCGAGGCCATTTGTACTTTTGTTTCTGTTTGTCTACATCCATGTGTGTTTGTGTGCACATGTTCTTGTTTACCTGCTGGTAAGGTCAGTCCTGTGCTTGGCAGACTGGAAATGCAGCCTGTCTTTGTGCAGAGTGTTACTGTGAAGTTGTACACATGGTAAGGCTTCAGTCCTTTCACCACATAAACAGGTGGTGACGATGGGCCCACCCTGTGTAAGACCTGAAAAAGTGAGAGAAAGAGGGGAAAAAAGTAGCAAGAAACAGGATTTATACACACTGACCTCAGTACTTAACTCTGTACACACACACTTTGACGTGTTAACCGACCTGACCACCCATACACTACAGCTGCACTATTAATTGTGTAATAACTGTGACCATCAGAAAACCATGATGATTAAACATAATCTTGTAAAATACCAGTCATTTCATTTTAAGAGTGCCTGACAAATCAAATCACATTTCATTAAATTGTATGGCCAGTTAAAAGTGTTTGGGTTAATTACATATTTATTCATACTGTGGTTCCAAAACTTTATTGCTAACGCAGGTAATCAGTTGGGGATGAGTAAATCCAACATCATTTGTCAAAAATCAAACAAACTGTAAAGCTTTTACCTTGACTTGACTTTGTCCTGATCATATTGTGAAAGGGAAAATGTGTGTCTGCGTCTTACCTGACTAATAACTGGAGGAGCATAGGGATTGTTGGTCTGTTCTGTGAGTAAGTTGACCCGATATTCGGTGACCTGTCCGCGGGCAATGACCCCTCGACCCTCAGCAGAGCTCCACACAACTTTGAGGCTGCTGGAGGACAGGGAGGTCACTTCTGGAGGAGCAATTAACTCTGGGACTGGAAAACAACATGTGTATGAAAAGTAAACATCACACAATATATTTAGCCATTTATTAATGATACACTTTTCATCAACTCATCACATATTGTCATATTGTGAATGACAAATCATTTCAGGTATTACAACTCTTCTAAACATTTAAACAAAACCTGCAATTATTAAACGGTCATGATGTATTGATTGTATTGATGCATTGATGAGAATCAATCAATCGAGAAATGTCACTAGAATTTTTTTTAGAATAATTACTTATGACTTAAATTAGAGTATGAGGACTGGTATTGTGGAGGGCACACGCATGTATACATATATTTGAATCCTGTTTTTCTGTGGATTTACGGTACAATAACAAATCAGTCAGAAAACCATTGAAATACAGGACTGGACCCACTTTCTCATTAGTGATCTACCCATCTATTTAAAAGAGTATACCCCCTCCCCAAGGGACCACTACACCAATTGATATGATTAAAATGAATTTATAATTAGAGTCTAGAAGAAGATGCATTTTCTTTTAGATTATGAGAGCCTGAGACTAAAACCTTACAAGTTGTTAATCTCTTAGATTGAAAGAAGTGTTAGATGCATTTTTCTTTGTATGCCATCTACTACTATTTAATACGAACCTTTAACAGTGAGCTAAATAAAAATAAAATACTAATTTATACACAGAGACATAAGTAAGAAATTGAGACTTCTTGGATATTATGTGGATTTAATGGATTTAAATATTTCATAATTCTACGGTTGTGAAAGCCACCATTACATGACGGATTAGAGAGAAGAGATTCTTTTATTCCTCTGTTGATGGCATCTAGCTGTGAAATATGCTGTGAAATGTGATTCATGGCAGACATAACCACAGTCACATTCTTCCTCCCTAACTCAGCGCACGCACGTGCACAAACACTGACACACTCTCCACATATAAAATGGTGTTATCATATGCTTGTTATCCAGACACATAGCTTAGAGTGATGTTGGAGGCAATCGTTTAGTCCTAATGAGCCATATCATCTATTTGAAATTCAAATACCTTAATGAGTTTCCCCTCCCCCACAAGCAGTTTTTATTTCCTCCCTCCTTCCTCTCTCCTTCCTCTCTCTACATTCCTTTTGACAAATCCCTGTTTTTTTTATTTAAAACAATTATTTTTTCATTAGATCCATCAGTACACATTTTGACCAAAACACCACTTGATTACATTACTCAGAGCTCTGATTTCACTCATCATTTTTAATGGTTTTTGCCCTTAATTTGTGCTGTATTTTATGCTTGAGGAAATGTCAACACTACATAATTGATAAATCAGTTTATATTAAATGTTTTGTTCTAAGCAAAGAAGCAGTCAAATGTAATATTCAGATTAGAAACTTGTTCTTATCCTGCTACCTTCTTACAGGTTTACTCTCTGGCCTGCCTACCTGCTGCTGAGCAAAACACTGTGCAATGGTTCAACCATCTCAACATCAGTAACAGTATTCTCCCCTGTCAAGCATCACTTTGGGGACATCGACTAAATGCATGTTGGAATAACTTAAGCATCCTTCTTTTCAATTTTAAATAATACATTTGCTGTTGTAAATATACTGTTTAATATATTTAAAAACAGATATTATTGAAAGAAAGAAGGTAAACATCAACATAACAGGGGATTCCAAACCTTTGAATGGTGGTGTATATATAAACATGACATTTCAAGAGAGACCTTGTGAGTATGAATTATAGACCAACGCAGGATTTTTATGGAGCAAGCATCTAATGGCCATGGGAGAAACTCCAGTAAAAAGGCAAATAGTCTATACTAAAAACGCTTATAGCTAAAAGGTTGGCTATCTGCAGGTAAACCTTACTGATGACTATAATGACATCTGACTTTGACTGATGTCTAATCCCTGATGGTAAAAGAACAATTAAAAATATCAATCTACATAGTTGAAATGGATTAATCCCTCAAATGGACCCCATGAGTGAATAACAAAATATCTATGTAAGCTCAGTTTAACCACAATCATGATCTATACTAACCTCCCTCCATGGTGCGTGCTGTGGTCCAACCTGATGTGACACTTCCTGCCACATTGATGCTCACGACTCTCATCTGATAGGTAGAAAACGCCTCCAGATCGTCTACAGTGGTGCTGCTCTCAGGGGGTGGTACTGTGCTCCTATTGGTTAGCTGTGCTTCTGGAGAAACACTCAGATCCAGCCATCCAGCGCTGACAAGCACTCTCTTTTCATCAGCCGGACCTGAAGAGTTCTGTGTTTCCATCGGTCCGCGTAGAAAGACCTCATACCTCGTGATAACACCTGTGGAGAAAACAAAATTGTTATAAAATGAATTTGTACATTTCTATTTGTTCAATCAATTTCCAGTCCAAGTCCAGAAGATGTAAGAAATTATAATTTAAAGCATAATTCGAAACTATATTTTCAGCCCAAAGATCTCTAGTATGCTATAATAAACCATGTTGTCGTTAATACAATAAACAGGGCCAAGTCAGGGAACAAACCCACTCAGATTTCAGTTGAATCAAGTTGAACATTGAACTAATGACAGGGAAAATTAAGAAAGTAGACACACAGAAACCCATGTAACGAGGCTTTTTGTGGCACTTTGAGGGAAAAAGATTAACAAAGACAGAAAAAAAAGAGACAAACAGAGAGCGAAACCTCCGGGTTGCAGGGCTTTGTATGACACTGAGCCTTAGAGCCATTACAAAGCTCTCTGGATTTACTAAAGGCAGTCCCAGTTCAGTGCGTATTGCTGTGTGTGTGTGTGTATGTGTGTGTGTGTGTGTGTGTGTGGTGTGTGTGTGTGTGTGTGTGTGTGTGTGTGTGTGTGTGTGTGTAAGTTGATTCCCTTGCTGTCTCATGTCATTGACACAGGCCTAAAAGCCATCCTGCAAGGCAAGTGTTTTATGTTAGTTAAAAATGTGTGTTGTGTTTGTGTTTACCCTACTTGTATTACACATTTATACATTGACATGAATGTGTATATATGTATACTGTATTTGTTAAGCCATGTCATTCTAACATATTTCTAATGAATATGTATCCATGTGTGTATTTTTACAGTTTCTGTTTGTGCATGTTTTCTGTAGTTCTACATCTTTAGAAAATGTAGGGGTCCTACCATTTGGCTGACTGGGGGGGTCCCAGGAAGCATTCAGAGTATGCGGTCCTGTAGCAGTGACTCTGGGTGGTGGTTGGTTTCTTGGGGGGGCAGAGGCTGTCAGAAGAGACAGTGGTTGGGTAGATGTGCACCCCCCAGAAGAGCAAGCCTGCAGACAAGGTTAGCTTTTGGTCATTTTCATTTTGTAGGCTGTAACTTCCTGAACATTTTCATCGGTTGTGGCCCACGCATACTTGATATATACTGTTAAAGATACATGAGCTTTACACTATGTTTATTTTGGGGAATTTGGTACAAATAGGCTACATTTTGCAATGAGATACAAAGACGTTTAACAGTAGCAGATGTTCGCCCCACGTACCTCCAGTGTGACAGTGTATTGGGTGAAGGGCTTCAGACCGCTCACCACAGCCTCTGTTGATAAGCCTGTGTAGTGAACGACAGGCTCTGCCCCACCAAACTCCTGTGAGGATAACACAAACCTGTGGGAGACAAAAACTGTGATTCACAATACACCAGTTCACATGGTACTGTAATGTGTTTCAGTTAGAATATAGTGCTGGGATGTTACACTGGCCTAGGTGCTAAAAATGTATAGAACAGTGTAAACAGCAATATCCTTGATTTAAATAGTAGGCAGCTTCTGCTCCTCTGCCCACATTCCTGTCTGGCTATTAACAATACATTATATGTTAAAATGCCCCAAAATGAAATCAAACTGAAGGTTCCTCATCAATTTCAGTAATTTAACCATCATGCTTTAAAGGATTATCCAGACTTATTATTTTTTAACACAAAGTGTATATCCAAAAGGGACTTCAATATGTCACTTATAAATGTTTTCTCCAAGTCCAGTCATAATTTAGTTCATGTACACTCAGGCTGTAATAGTATGCTATAACAATGATAATTTACATTGATGATTACAATATTTTCAGCAGGCAGTTTCAGTCAGAAGCAAAACATAGAATAGTGTGAGAATCTAAATTCTGACTTCTGTCTAAACATCCCCTCCAGCCTTTCCTCACCTCTCCACTGGGCCTGTATCATTCCTGGGTGTGCTCCAGTTAAAGCTAGCGGTGGTTGGACCGGCGCGTCCCACAAGGTTTAAATGGAGGTGTTCTGCTTCAGGGGGTGCACCTAAAGTTTGGTATGATGCTGCTGCACTTATTGCGGCACCGACCACATTAGCTGTTATTACCCAGTAAGAGTAGTTGTTATAAGGAAACAAACCGGTGTCTTCAACTGATTCAGGGCCTGAAATAAAAGGTGGCAGAAAAAAGTATGTAGGGAAAAGAATTTGGAAAACAATGATTGCTTCATGTGCATTTGAAATTGTAAAAGGATTAAATGTGTTTAAAAATGATTCACAAAGTACATGGCAAGACAAGAAATGCAGGTACTGTACATGAAGCAAAAGAAAACAAATATATAAAAAGGTACAAGGATAAGGTAACCGTTAAACAGGACATCAGAAAACATACTTACTGAAAGGATAGTGACTCTGGATGGTATGCACTGACTGTCCATCCCTGATGAGTGTGTAGTTCAGTCTGTTGGAGTTTGGAGAGTCAGGTGGGTGCCAAGAGAGACGAATGGAAGAATAACTGAGCGCAAAACCCACTGGTGCCGGCTGCTGGAAGGGTTCTGCAGACAACAAAAAGAGTGAAAGAAATAAACAGTGAGATATAGACACACACAACCTAAGTAAGTAAATGTAGCAAGAAAATTGTTTATACTTAGAGTATCTTTATATTTTGTAAATGTGTTTCTAGTGTAAGCAATACGTTCCCCCAAATCAGATTACATAGGATTAGTAACATGATTTTATATCAGGTTCAACAGTACAAGTACAAGTCAGTTAGCTTAGTGCTGGAAACAGCTAGCCTTCAAGTCAGTTTGTGCTTTTGTGTGTATGTGTGTGTTAGCGTTTAAAACAGACCTTTACTGCAGCCGAAGTGATTCTCAGGGTCGAAATGACTCGCTCCGGGTTGACATTTATTACACTTGTCTCCAGTTACCAGCAGCTTACACACACACATCCCAGAGTCTGGATGACATGAACCATTGGCACTGCCCAGCGGGTCACATGCACAAGGCTCACATCTGGTCAAGCAGAGGAAAGAAAGCAAACAGTCAAAAGTGTTATTTCATTTTTACGTCTAACTGGAAAAAAACAACATCAACAAAACCTATCAAAAATTACCAGAGCTATGTTGGACAGTTTCAATAATCATTTTAACTTTTGAAAAGCTTATGATTAAAAACAAAAAACTACAAGTTCATGTATTTATACATATATGTATTTTAACTTAGTAGTGTAGTTGGCAGGCCAAATAAAAAGAGAAAGAAAGTGCACTTTTGAAATGTATCTGCATTAATGTGCAAATGTTTAAAAGCTAACTGGTGACTGGGTATGTGTGTCTGAAAGGTGTTGGGTCTTGACCTTAGCACTGTGAGGAAGACCCCTCACTACCGCCCATCCCACCCATAATCATCCCATAGCTGTGAAACTAACTTCACAGAAAATGTGAATTTCCCCTCAGAGATGACAAAATCTGTATGTGTGTCTGTGTGTATGTGTTTGTGTCTGAGTGTGTGTGTGTCTGTGTGTATGTGTCTATGTGTATGTGTTTGTGTCTGAGTGTGTGTGTGTCTGTGTGTATGTGTCTATGTGTATGTGTTTGTGTCTGACATTGTGTGTGTGTGTGTGTGTGTGTGTGTGTGTGTGTGTCTGTGTGTGTCTGTGTGTGTGTATGTGTCTGGGTCACCAGTGTGGTGTTACCCTCACTGGGGCAGGGCAGCGGGTGATTATCCGGCCAGCCACCTCACACCTTTACACACAGTCATGCATGCACATGCAAACACACGCACGCACACACACTATCATATGTACTTGTTGGAAGATGTTTGGCTCCCACTCACATACAGAGTAGCTCTGTACAGTATAAAGTAAATCCTGTTACTGACACACTCACACAGAGCATTTTTCCTTCTTACACACACACACACGTACGTACACACACACACACAGCTACACCTTTTTTATTGCTGTGTGAAAAGCCACAGCCTCTTAACGAGCCGCAAATTTGTCCTGTCAACTAGTGCTCAAATGCACACACAGACACATGCTCAAAAAGACACAATTACAAATACACACATATGCCATATTGACTCGACCTTCACTCCATTCCCAAGGAGAAAGAAAACACCAACATCACACCCATTCTCTCCTTTTTCATCAGCCTCAAAGTACTCTATGTGTATGAACGAGAGAGAAGGTAATATGTGTGTATTTAGTGAGATATAGCATCTGAATAGAAACAAGCATTTAACGGTGACATAACATTAAATTGCCACAATGATATTTTGTTATGTAATACTTATTTAATTAATACTATATTTATTAAGTTACTTTCAAAGACAGTTAGGTTACAACAACATACAATGTATGTAAATGTAGAAGTATTGGATTATTACATGTGTAATCCCTTGTAATAAAATTATGTGTGTAAGTGAATGTGTGCATGTGCCAAAATCTAATCCCTGCAGACAGAATTACCATCATATTTCCCCGTGATGAAGTTAACACCGGTCAGCATTTTCTGACCCGGTTCTCCATGGAGACACATAGAGACACAGTACCACAACCAGCCAACTGCTCACACATCAATTTGTGTGTGTGTGTGTGTCTGTGTGTAAATTCATTTGAGCAAAGCCTATTGATTGAAGAGGAAGGATAAATTACTTGATGATATTTAGATGAAGAAATCCTTATTATGGAGCGACTATGGGCACAAGAAAAGCATTCAGCACTAATAACCTACCACTTTATTTATCATTTTTCCAGCACAATAAAAGAATACAAGACAGTAAGGCTTTGATTACACCAAAACGACTGCTTAAAAATGGCAAAACACGTGGAGTATGGGCTGTGATGCTCAGGGGTAGGGTTGGGGGGTGGTTCAGTTTGCTAATTAATATAAATAATGGGGTGCCCTTGAATTATATAGTTCACTGTAATTAAATACAGCTCATTTCAACCTCTCATCTGCATTTGCCATTGCAACTATCCTACCATATCTTAAGGCATCAAAACAAGAAGGAAGTGGTAGAGTAGTAAAGCCTTCCTCTTGCTAAGTGTGATGTTGATAAAAGTGTCAGGCTCTATGTTTTGCTCTAAAATATTTAGAATATTTTAACTTTAATTCATGTGTAAAACCAGGAAAAAAACACACTCAAGAAATGCACTCTGTAGCATGGCATTTTTTTGCCAGTAACCATGTAGGCCTTAGAACATCCCCCATCCATTTTGTATTTATTCCACTCTTTCCTTCCCCTATATCTTTGTTAAAAGTAAACTCTTTATCAAAGTTGTTTTTTCTCCCTCCTTCCATCAATCCACCCCTCTCAGCTGTGAGGAGATCTCAGCCACAGCCTGAACACAGGGGAATACAGCTATCAGGCAAGGTCAGCTCACATACACACGAACAAAAAAACACACACTTACTCAGTGGACCACTAGTCAAACAGTTTGTGGATTATCTGTCTTTGCCAGCCTGTTGAGAGGAATTTATGTCTGTGTGCGCACCAGTACTGCACACGGTGTAACAGTTACATTTGTGTATGTGTGTTTTAAGTTGTGTGTGTGGCGCTGTGTGTGAGATAGCCTGCAGGTAGAGACATGAGCGGTAAAGGTCAAAGCAGCTCTTAACTCATGTAAGTCATATGTCTGCCAACTAATCTGTAAACTGTCCTTACAGAGTCTGCACCCGCTGCTGTGTGTGCTCGAAGGTGGAGCTGCGTGTGTGTTCGTGTATGCGCAGGTGGTGCAATTGATTTACAGTCTGTACAACCTGCATATATGGTATTCATCTGTGTGTGATTGCCTTTGTGCGAGTTACCTTCCCAGGCCGGGGTTGAATCCATAGAACATCTCACGACACTGGTCACAGCGCCGCCCTCCCACTGAAGGATGGACACACACACACTGTCCTGTCTGCCTCTGACAACCCCGCTGCGCTGCTCCCATAGGATGGCAGTCACACTCCGCACACACACTCTGATCTGGAGAGAGGTAAAAGCCTAGACCAAAAAAAGAGATGAAAATAAAATGGAAAAAACATTTTCAATTTGGTTAGTAGTCTCCCATTTCCTTATTCTGCCAACTGATTGGGGGTTTCATTAACCATTTATTTGTAATAAAATGTAACACAAAGCCAATAGGTGTGTGTGAGGTTACATTAAGCAATCCAGGTTCTAAAGTTCGCTGTAAATCAATTCAGTTTATATTTCCCAACGCTAATATCGTCCAACAAAATAATTCGATAAATTCTATTAAACCTTCCTAAACTGACAGTTTAGGTAATCAGGGGGGAGCTGTAGGAGGTTTAAGTATATCACGGGATAAATGATCTTGGCAAAGTTGTTCATCTATGTTATCTTACGACAGTAATTAATATTGCCTTAGTTTTTATTTTCGGGCTATTTCAGATAAATTATGATTATTTTGTGTCCTCTGATGCTCTTTTTAACATCTGTCCATCAATACATCCATCACATCACGTGTTACAGTAAACCTGACTATGCTGTTGGTCTTACTCCATTACAGACACAATACAACATCTGTTACCGCTTGTCCCATATGACTGACACACACACATACACTTATGAGGTAATGCACACACAAAAACCAAAGTGAGATGAGTGAGAAGAAGCAATTTCCCCCCTCTATGGTGCTGTTGTTAAGACCTGGCACAAACAGGACAATCACAGAGTGGAGATCTGGCAGAGGGCACATGCCAACACACACACACAAACCCACACCAGCACACAAGGAAACACACACTTAAAGTAGCAACCATTGTTCTTCACCTTTTTCAAATTGTGTTGGGGTAGTCTGAACTTTGGTCAGAAATGTATCCACTTTATTCAATCATTCCTTAATTGTACTGTCAATCTATGTTATTGTAGAAACACTCACCAGGTCGGCAGCTACTGCAGTCCTTTCCATAACGTGTAGGGACACAAACACACTGCCCTGTGGTGCTGTCACATACTGACCCCGCCACTATCCCTCTGAGGTCACAGACACATGGCACACAGCCTTGGGACAACCTATCTGTTGGACACAAAAAAGAAAATTGAAAGCAGAATAGATCAGGACGTTTTCCCACAAAGTGTCATTACTTACACACCAAAACAAACGATTAACAACACAAAATATATTTCTACAGACAAAAGTCCTTATATGAGGTTAAAAGAAAACATAACATGCATTTTGATTTCAAATACAGTAGCTCTGATGTATCTTATTTGATTATACTTGTCAAACTATACAGAGTCTGACATTTGCTATAGTTTTTGAACAACTTTTCTGGCCCTCTCTTACTTTGGAGTTGTAAACTTCTGTTGTAGAAGTTGTGGGCACAATTGGTACACCTTGCTCCCTCCACCCCTTCTCTGCACGGGCATTGTCCGGTCCACATATCACATACACCCTCGGGCACAGTGCCATGGGTGTCACACACACACGGCAGACAGCCCAGGGAGTTTCGCTGCTCCAATGTATGGTAACCATGAAGGCAAACTTCACAGAGTCGGCCTTCCACATGTTCCTAAAAAAGAAAGGAGAAGTCGAGAAGGAGGGATGTTAAGTGTTAAGTAGTTGTAGACACTATAAGTGAACACAAAAGCTGTCTGGATAAGAATTGCCAACAACGTATTGAACAGGTCAGTTACTAAATAAAGTTGACAGTCTGTTTTCATCACAACTTGTCTTAACCCGATGGCATTGGCATTGTCCATTTGTCATTTATTTTCTGATCAGATGCCACATTGTAAATATGAATGGATTTACAAAGTCAGGCAGCTGTGTGGATCAAACATGGAGGTCGATAATTCAGGTGATAAAGAATGAAGTCGAAAAATCATGGGTTAGAAAACATGAGAAGAGAAATGGTCCAGAAGGGTCACTTGCTGCCTAATGATAAGCGAACATTTCATCATTTGACATGGATATATCAGACATAGGTAAGTGTCTCTACTCTTCATCTGCACAGTTAAAGAAGGCTCCCAACAAAATAATACTGTACAAAATAGAAACCCTTTATCTGACCCTTTGTCCTTATCCCTGTAGTGTTGATTTGTGTTGCCTTCTTCTGCTCAAAAACAGCTTTTTATTTTTATATTATTATTATACTCCAGTTGCTTGATATCTTACAGTAAATGTATGTATTTGGTTTCCTTTGTTAGAATGTAACTGTTATTCGTTGACCACCAGAGCCATTGCAAGCTGGAAACCCCAATGGTTGACTTTACATTTAGTAATAATAATAAAGTTATAAATACTTGTTAACTTGCCTTACACACACACTGTCCTGTGTGAGGATCACAGTCTGTCCCAGGTACGGTCCCTTCTTGTGAGCAGTTGCAGGGGGCACAGGATCCCTCCAGTCGTAAACCATATGACCCCCTGCCACAAGAATCACAGCGCTGCCCCCCCACCCCGGGCTTACATTCACACTGCCCCCCCTCAGGCTCACAGTACGGGCTGAAGGAGCCCAGGGGGTCACAGTCGCATGGGACACAGCCGTCTGGGTGGGACAGGTTCCAATAACCAAACTCACAGCGGTCACAGGAAAGACCTGCCAAAAAAAAAGAGAAAAAAGAGAGGGGTAGGGGGGCAATTATAGAAATGTTGAGGAGAGTACAGAGTGATATTTTGAGAAAACCAGAAAGGAAATAGAAATAAAGTGAATTAATGTTTGTTTGTTCACCAACTAGCGCTTAGCCTCTCTCCGTTTGGTTTGTGTGTGAGTGGGTGAGAAGGAGAGAGAAATGGTGTGTGAGTGTATAAAACTGCCATCATTAGGGCCAGGCCCTCTACATATGATGGATCACTCACCTAAGGCCAAACACTTAATTTCACTGAGCGGGAAAATAAATAAATTAAACAACTACAAGAATAGGATGGAGGGAGAGAAAAAGACGAGATGGGGAGACGAAAAGATGGATAGAGGAACATCAAAATAAAAACAAATGGGTGTAAAAAGATTATGTTTTTACTCTGTTCGATTTATAGTGCTTAAAGAATAACAATCTAATTATACTTGTGGCTAAATTATATTTTCAAAATGACTAATTATTAACAGTTTTCACAATATTTTGTTTTGTAAAACATAAAATCCAAGAATTCAAAAATGCAGCTTATTATAAAGGAGTTAAGTACAGTATGAAACTTTAAGAATTGTTTACTTTAAATATTAACATCTATAAAGATGTGTAATGCCAGAAACAGCCTAGCAGTAAATAATGTAAATTAACCGATAACAGTATCACTTCAGTTGCTGCTCTTTTTATTTTATTTTTATAATTATTGAATAATTACAAACACCAAAACTGTGGGAAGTTTTATGGCTCCAGCAGCAGTGCCCGGCTATAAGGCCAGTTAAACTATGATATGCGGTGTGAGCGAGCAGGGCTTATTTGAATATGCCATACGTATTCCATGACAGGCAATCTGTCCCTAAATGGATGCCTGGGGGCAGCGCAGTCACCACAGCCGTTTATGAGGGAGCGTGTGTTCATGTGCGTGGGTGAAAATGTGTGTGTGCGCTCATACATTTATGACAGAATATCTGCACATCTGTGTTAGTGCACATGTGTGTGTGTGTTAGTGTGTGTGTGTCCTACTCAGTGTGCGGCAGACACTTGGCATTTCCCCTGGTCTGCCCACTTTAATGATTTTATAGATATGAATGTATTTCTCTCCATAGATCATATTTCATAATAGAGCAGTGTGTGTGTTGAGGTATGTGTGCACAGCTGAGTGTACTCATATGCAGAAAGACAGAATGATTCTTACAACCTGAACAATCCCGTAATATATTGTTTTCGATTTTCTTTTTTGCCAATAAAACTACAGTTTATAAAAAACCACACACCCACTATAAATAGTGATAATATGTTCCATTCATATTTTACACATTAAGCAGCACAAGTTGGCATTTGCGAATCCTATTTTTGCTGCTAATCTGTTGATAGCGAATTGCACAGTCCTACTAACACAATAGAAAAAAGTGAGAAGAGAGAAGAAGAGAAAGAAAAATCAGAAGACAATAACAAGGAAGGAAAGGTGAGAACATTAGAGAACAGAAATTGTTAGAACATATTAGATCAGGGCAGAAAGGAGGTAATTTTGTGTTTAGGCGTGCGTGTTTGCCCGCGTGCATGTGAGTGTGTGTTTTCGGGACATGGCCCAGCCCTTTTATCAGTAGCCAGCTGGTTAACAGGCTCATGCATCACCATTTCAAACACTATTATGAACACACTGCACTCTGGCACCTTGTTATGAATGTGCATGTGTGTCTGCATGTGTGTATCTGTGTGCACACATTTCAATTCCCTCCTTCTGAAGCGTGCCTGCCATTGCTCTACTCAAAGTATCAGCTTGGCGGTAATAAATTGCCATAATCAAATCTCATTTCGGAAAAATACCTGTGGGAGCAACCAGACAAACAAGGATGGAAAAAAACGGAAAGTGGGTCTTGCAAGACGGAGTGTGAAAAATACAAGGGGCTGCAGCAGTTTGTTTTAATCAACTTGGCATTGAATTAGAGAATTAAATACCAGCTTAGTCCTTGATGGCATGCATGTGCGCACACACACACACACACAAACTCACACACACACACACACACACGCACATACAGAAACGTACAATCTTACAATACAAACGTTAGTCTAAGACAAAAGTAGATGAACACACGGTCACATCCAGGCACTTTCTCTTTTACATACACATTAACATAAAAAAGGACACACATTAACAAGTTCAGATACACATTCCCGCACACACACGCACAACCGTGGGCCCTTGATAGGGAAGCTTAGCAATAACCATGATGCGTTGCGTTGAGGAGCGTTGGCCGGTTTTGCATTTCATACGAGCCTGCTCTTCAAAGACACACAGGGGAGAGAGTGAAACCATTTATCACAAAGAGAAGCACAACCACTGGAAGCACCCCCAGCAGAAAAGCCTGTTTATTTTGGCTGGCAAAATACTTTGGTGTGTGTGTGTGTGTGTGTGTGTGTGTGTGTGTGTGTGTGTGTGTGTGTGTGTGTGTGTGTGTGTGTGTGTGTGTGTGTGTGTGTGTGTGTGTGTGTGTGTGTGTGTGTGTGTTTTCGCCTGTGTGTATACAAGTGCCTGATTCGGTCTGTGCACAGAGTACTGTATATCTCCTTTTTTGTGCACTCAAATGAGCAGCTGTGCCTTTGTGTTAATTAGGACGCAGTTACTGGACAATTTGAAAGAGTAACTGAATTAATGAAAAGTACAAGTTATCAACAAAGTACTTGGGTACATTTTGTGAGAGAAACAATTTACGAGAGCACATTTGGAGTGGACATGATTGCGGCTGTGGTAACATACTAAGGCCTGAAGATATTGTTGATATTGACCTTAAGAGTTTCATCTTAATTAAACCCCTACTCAAAATGAGGTTGCCATGCTTGTATAGGTGGAATTTAGGGAGATGGTATGAAATTCCATGCTTGTTACACTGCCTCAAAAAGTGTATTGACAGCAGGAGGACAGACACAGCTCTGACACACATGATTGTTGAGAAATACACCACAAAAGCAGTGGCAACCAAACATCAAATATGTTGTTTAGATACAATTAATTTCTCACAATTCATGTTTTATCTGAATTGTCTTTTTACCTGTGACATGGAGTTTACACTGGCAGAGTCCTGTATGCGGGTTGCAACTGTGATCTCCTTCTGTTGCGTTGTTGATGATGCCAAGGTCACTGCAGTTACAGCGGGTGCAGCCGTTTGGATTCGAGGCGGTAAGACCGTACCATCCAGATAAACAGTCTGTACACCGACGACCTGTTACTGCGACCTTACAATGACACTGACCTCCTGCCTGCACGCCAGAAATAAAGAAGAGAAGAGGGACAGGCAAAAACAAAAAGATTTTCAACCAGCCTGAAAACTTTGAAATCACATAATTGAAATGTAGGACCCACTCGTCACCACCAGTTTGCTGTTTGTGTTGGGTGTACCTCGGAGCACTCCTTGCTGCTGTTGACTGTTCCAGCAGTGTTACAGTTGCAAGGTTGACACAAATCCCCTGAAGTGGGATCAGATTCCTCCAGCCAGAAAAATCCACTTCTACACAGCTCACAGTTTTTACCTGAGAGACAGAAAGAGAGTAAGATATAGAGCAAGAAAGTCAAATGAACAGGTACAATTCCTAAAGGGATCCAGGGAGACATTCATGTCAAAGACCATCCTTTTTTGCCTCATTAGGAAAGTCATCATAAAAAGGTGAGTGACAAACACTTGAGCAAGGCACATAGGCTAATAAGCAGCATGAAATACTTCATAACCATCTTCCAAATGACCACTGCCATCAATTCCAAATTAGTTTTATAATAGATAATACCCCATAACCTTCTAATTTCACCTATTACTGCTGAGAAGGCCTTAAACAGTAAGGATAAGGCATCCATTTACAGTATATATATTTATTAAAACTATCCAATACTAAGTTGTGTCGAACGGTATTTGTCTTTATCTGTTTTGACAAAAATACCACACTTTTCTCTTTACATGGCTGGCTAAATGTATAGAAATAACATATATATCAGCATAAAGAAGTTTTTTGGCTCAAAATCTTGAAATAATAAAAAGGAATTGTGAAGGATTATGACACACGGTCTTTAATTGTTTCAAAGTTCTTTAACTTGAAGGTTGATTGAAGAGACATACTGTATGAAATTTTACAAAATGTTTTTATAAGCTTTGAGTAAGATAATTATATAACTTGTATCGCTAACCTGTGGTGTTGTGCATGCAGTTGTCACAGACCCCTCCTCCTCCTCGATAGTGCTCATCAGGCTGTTCATCGACTCCCTCATCGTAGTGACAGGAGAGGGCGTGGCTGTGACACTGACAAGGCCGGCAGTTCATAGGCTGGAGCTGGTCACCTGACCTGAATGGCTTGTCATTGTAGAGAGGCGCACAGCGTTGGCACTGTTAAGATAAAAGCCACATACTGTTTATAAATACGGACATACATTTATTTATTTATGTATAAGCTAACATACTGTTTGTATCTATAAGCTACCAAACTGTTTGCTGCAAAAATTATTTCTAAAATAATCAGACCTTTGTTTTAACCCTAATGATTGCAATCAGAGATGCAAGTTTACACAGATAAAATGCATTTAAATGAATAACAGTCTTGGTGGTTAGAGATTATGAATGTTCACAAGCATTCATATTAAGCAAAGACATTTAGAACATGTCGGAAAATGGTCCCATGACAAGTAAAATGCTTGCTTCAATAGAACAAAGACAGATAATAAGACGAAAAGAAGAGAGAAAGAGAAACACAGAAAGAGACAGAGGGGGGAATGTAAAGACAGAAGACTCAGCGGCCCGTGTCAATCTAAATCTAAAGAGAGAGAATAATAATACCCATAACTGAATAAAACAAGGAGGAATGTATTCTTTGCTATATAATAAAGAGCCAGTACAGTTAGACACACACACATGCACAAACGCACGCACACACACAGGAAAGAAAAATCAGACTGCTAATGAGGAGTGACTTGCAACAGCCAGGGCTCTCACACAGGCCCACTTTCATGTCAAAATAAACATACCAAGGTGTGTGAAGGGGGGGAGGAAGGGGGAAAAGTGACATAAAAAATGTATTTTTCTGTTGCAGAGAGCAGCAACGGCGAGAAGCAGCAAGTACAAGCCCTTTGATTTTGTTCAGCAGTCAGTACAAATTATGGTGGACAAGGGGGGCATCAAATGGCGGGATTAAAAATGTATTAAAAAACACAGGAGTTCCTCCCATGTGTGACACATGCAGACCTGCACTGGGCCCATTATGTATGACACACAGAGGAGGGGGGAGCCAGGGGAGGGAGGGGGAAGGGTAGAGTGAAGATGGAAATGGGGGGAAAGGCTCCTATTTTGTATATGAGAGAAAAGGGGGAGGAGGTAAGGGAACATGCAGGAAACTGATGTGAACAGAAATGATGGGAAAAATTCCTTTGTGTTTGAAAGATTAGGACTGGGGGGACAGAAAGACAAGAAACACACCGAGAAAACAATCCACAAGTGTGTGAGCAAGGGATGTGCAGCGGAAAAGGAAGACAAAGAGAGAGATCAAAAATAAAATCATGTTAATACGTGAAGAAGACAAAAGGCCCCATGTGTTCTGGAGCTACAACACGACACAACGCTCAGGACCAAACATAGTCAAACACACAAAATCCAATCCAACAGTTTTTTGCTTTTAAAAGTTTCCATGTTCAGTGTTTTTCACCAAAATACAGTTTGTGTATCCTTGAGGTGGTCAAAAACTCAACAGGTTCTTTAAAGGTATGTAGAAACTCTTATGTCACATAGCCATAACACAATTGTGTTTAATTCCTGACTGTAATTTTATTAAATTTAACTTATCCATATGTGTAGACTACATTATTTTGTAATATATTTACCAGGTAATGTAGTCCTTATTTGTGTGACTCGAAATAACAGAATCAGAATGTTGTTGTTGCCATGGCCAACAAAGCATTTTGAAAACAGTAGCAGGAAAGGAGACTGTCTGCTTATTTACAAAAAATATTTAAGAAACACTTCCTCTCTACCGAATGAACAAGATCTAAAGGGTTTGAGGGTTTGCATTTCTGTATATTTGTGTGTGTGTTTGTGAGTCTGTGTGTGTGTGTGCATCCAGAGCACTGGTTCCCTGTGGGGTGATTATTAACAGGATATAATGAAGCAGCAGGAGACTCTCAGGAGACAAGATGCACACACTTACCAACAACCACAAACACAAGAGTCAAATAGAAACACGCGTGTAAACACACACACACTGAGTTTTTCTTGGGACATGAAATTCCACAGGAGTGTTGGTTGTTTGCATGTTACTGTTTGCTCTGTCTGTCATGCTGTTTGGTTTTGAATATGAAATCAGACTAACAGTAACTTTGTGACTTCCTGTTTGTCCGTGCTGCTTTTCCACTTCTGCCCATCTGTCTTTGTAGTTGCCCGTGTGTCTCTCTGCAGCTCTTTGCCCCAAAACGTTTCACATATCAAAGGTACTTTTCTTTCTGCACTTCGAAAAGGAAGGCTCTCACTAGATCTCACTCTTCATCCGCTGGGGATGCGTTGAAGAGCGAGATGTACTCCTCTCCCATATCTCCCTCCCTTTTCATTCCTCTTTCGTCTCCTCGTTCTTCCCACCCTTCCTTCCTCTTCCATCTCCTCTCTTTCTGAAAAACAAATCACTCTGTACATCTCTCCGGGCTTCCCACCTCTCCCCTTCCTCACTCTCTTCCCCCTGTCTCTCTCCCGTCCTCCAACCGCTTGTTCTCATAGCCACGGTGAGTATGTGAGCAGGAAATATTACCATACCAAATGAAAGGGAGAGGATTTTTTCTTCCTTCTATTTTCTTTTCATTCAACATTGCGTTACCTTCCCTCTCTCCCAGCCTGCTAATTAGTCGGGGGACTGGTGTTTGGGAGTTAAAAGGAAACGGCACACGTTCATTCTCTTCTTCATACAAAAGGTTTTGATGGCGCTCCAGCATCTGCAAATAGTACCAGCGGCTAAAAAAGGACAGCGCATACTAAGGATCGAGTGTACATGGTTTTGATTTAGATTTTAATTGTCTTTCTGCAAATGTCCAGTCTTCTTTAACACATTTTCTAGCTTAAAACATTCAAAAACCAAGAAATTGTATTTTTACTGTGAATTACAAGACACTTTCATCGCTACTTATTGATAGTCTGACTCTTGACTCTAAAACCTTTGTAACAACAAACAGCCATATTATGTTCATGTTGAAGTCCATTTTTTTTACAAACAATTAGACTAGACTTCAGACATGATCAAATCGTAAATAAGCTAATAGTGGCAGGACAGAACGTACATAATGATATTATTATACTTCTACAAATATAACCAAATGTCTTGAAAGTCTGGTTTAATGTATAAAAATGAATGAGTGCTGGGTACTCTGTTGCAGAGTAAAGAATAACATCTTATTTTCACTCTGAATGTTCCGACAAAACCTGCTGAGTGAGGAGCCTTCTTTAATGGATATGTGGACATTCAGATGGCCTGTCACTAGCATTTGTGTGTGTGTGTGTTTGTGTGTGTATATGTGTGTGGGTGTGCGTGTTAATCTGCTGGGGCAACTCATCTTATCCTAAATGCCATGACCAATTTCACGCTCTCACTGGAAAGGTCGTGCCACTGGCGTGTGTGTGTGAGCATGTTTGTGTGTACACACCGGTGTTGTGAGTATCTGAAGTTAACCCGGTTAACCCCAGCGTAGGTGAAAATCTGCTGCTGAGGCAGACTTTAGCTACAGAGACCCTGGACAACGCTACTTAACGTCACTAGCCATCAATATCTATCACACACACAGATGGAAGCACAGACACACGCCTTTTTCAGAACTGATATATACAGCCCAAACAATCTCGAATATAAACATACACACAGGCACACAAGCATTCACACAAGTTGTTCAAAAATGCAGCTGTACAAAGCGTTATGTAACGAAGACCAAGAAAACTCAAGTTGTCTAAAAATACATTTAAGGTGGGTTAAGATTGCATCTTACTTTTTGTAACACTTAAATCGGACATCATTGAATCTGGAAAGAGGCTATTTTGAACCGTAAAAAGACAGGGGCATGTACAACAGAAAACTGGGCTTGTGACGTGATGTACAATATAATGTATGATATATCTTTCAGACATGACTGAATCCATCAGCTGTGGAGAGACAGAGTGACAGAATGAGAGATCAACTCCGACACAGAGTGCACAGAAGAAAGAATCAAAAGAAAGAGTGAAAAGTGGGCGCGGGTGTGTGCGTTTGGGTGCACGTGTGTTTAAGCATGTGTGAGAGAGTTTAAGTGTGTGTCTTCCAAGGCCCCCGTTGATCATCTTGACACATGTCTGAGCATTTCTGTCACTTTAATGTCACTGTGGAAATTCTGCAGATTAGTACAACATCCGTCATGGTGCCGGGCCGATCCAAGTCAACAGAACGCATGCAATATTAAACGCTAATATTCCCCACAGCCTTTTATGCTCCAATATTACAGAGACAGAAGGAAGGTCCTGAATATTCACTCAGAGAGATGACATGGACAGGTTTGGGAGAAAAGTGCATACAGAGGCACACAGACACACTCACAGGCACAGGCAAAAATGATCACACAAAAAAGACTCATTACGGTCTATATACGGTCTTTCACAGAAGCAGAGCTCTAATAGTATCATTGACATAAAACACACACACAAATATATCCATATTTCTTATTTCCATTGCATTTCTTTAACACAAAAGAACTACTGTACGTCCGAGTGAGAAGAAAAGAAACAGATAGGGAGGATGGAAAGACATGAGACGGAAATAAAAATGGAAATAAGAGAGGGATGAAACATGAGAAACCGAGTCAGATGGGAATGAATTAAATACTTAGAAAGCGAGGCAATAAAGAGTGAGGGGGAGTAGAGGAAACGGCTGAGTGAAATGAAGCGAAAGACAAACAGAGAAAGAAAGAGAGCTGATTAGAGATGCATGCTGAGGGAATGTCATTGTTCTAGTCGATTTGAGACATTATTTAAACTGAGACCCGGGAGAGAAAGACAGAGTACGAGAGAGAGAGAGAGAGAGAGAGAGAGAGAGAGTGATCGACAAAGGGAAGTGGATGGCGGTGGGAGTGGGATGTATAAAAGGAGAAATTCAGATGGTGAGAAAGACAGAAATAGAGAGGCAGGAAGATTCTTTTCCCCCTGCGTTGGTCTGGAAGGATGGCATAACAATGACAACGTTTACTTGTGTGTGTGTGTGTGTTTAGAAATGCCTCTATGAAAACTTTTATTTGAGTCTGTAGTTCATATAAGACAACACAACTATTAAATGCAAGAGTGTGTGCGTAGGAGGATGATGGTTATTTGAGTTTGAGAGTATGCAAGACAGGCAATTGAACAGCTGCTTGTTGACAGCTGTACTTCTCCACTGATGTCCTCTGTCGCCTCTGTATGAAACACACTCACACACACACGCGCGCGCACACACAACCTAATACACAAACGCAGGTGTATGAATGATACATAGGTGGTGAATTATGCATGCTGTCCTGTGCTACAGTGAGGTGGAGCAGTCACACTGAACTTTTCACTGCTGACCGACTACAGGCTCTGTCGGGGAGATGCCCACTTCTGTCTGCCACGATGGATTTGATCTCCTGCGAGCAAAGGCCTGGTTCTGAGGCCGTGGTTAACATCAAACCGAGACTGAAATCAAATTATAAACTCACATCCTGCAGCATATCACAGTGTGTGAGTACTCCCTATGGGATCATAGTTTTGGTTTAACTAGAGAATGCCACGAGATTAAATAAGTAACTGTGATCAGAAACAAAATCATATCAGCTGTGACAGAGGCTTTTCACCTAAAAATAATTAACCCAATAATGAAATTTTAGCTCAAATTCAAACCAAGAGCTGGTTGACGTATTATTCCATTAATGCACACGTGTGTCAAAGTTAATCACACTCTATCATTGTGTGAACACAAAAGCAAACCACATTAAAACTTCAAAGTTAGCATGAAGACAGCTGAGTTAAAGTGTTTTCAGGTAAGGATATTTGAAAGCAAGAGAACACTATTAGACTAGATTAAAGTTTTAGATTAGAAAAGTGACATACTGTAAATCTAATCTAAGACACCACATATTCAGTTATCATAAATCACACAACCCATACACAAGTCCAGCGCCAACAAGGCTGATGTCAGCTGTCAGTTATTTACAACTTTGACAGCATACAGTTTATTACCTGATTTAGCAGTCTGACCGCACTGATAGCTGTCCATTAACCCAAACGTCAGGTGCAACGCAGCACCGCCTGGCACTGCGGGTATACAGCATGTGTCCAAAAGCACAGCAGCACTTAAATCCACTCAATCAATTTCTCAGCAATGACAAATAAACCCAAGAATAAAACTCAACGAAAAATAAGAAGGAACATATATTTAGCAGTGTGTGTGTGTGTGTGTGTATGTGTATGTGTATGTGTGTATGTGTATGTGTATGTGTGTGTGTGTGTGTGTGCGTGTGTGTGTGTGTGTGTGTGTGTGTGTGTGTGTGTGTGTGTGTGTTATAAGAAAAGTATCCTTTATATCATCAAGAAGTAAACTGCTTAATTAAGACCATAAGGAGATTCTCCCCAGGGGGGCTCCTCTTTTCTAACTGTTTGCTTTTTATATGCTTGAACTTGAAATGAATGAACACTGTATGTGGATCTAACACGGATTGTGATATTTGGGAATACAAATCCACAGAAAAGACAACTCAGTGAAAAACAAACTGTATGCGTTTGAGTAGAAGGAGCTTGAGTGGCAACATGACCCTATAAAAACCCTTAAAACGTATATACTGTATCAGACACTAACTTACAGGGTGTGTGAGGTCGTACATCACAGTTACAAATAGGGTTAAGAATACATGTTGTTTATGATCATGTTTGTTACTCACATTGTTTCCCTCTGTGTGGCTCTCAGGCAGACACAGACAGCGGTAGGGCTTCACACTGGTCTCACAGTGGTCTGCATGGCCGTGACATTCACATCTGGCCAGATGATAAAGGGAAGAAAGGAAATATAAACAAAACTGCAATGTACAAACTATTTTTGTTACAATGAAAAAAAGTAGTTGCATCAATAAAAAGGTAAGCAGCAGACAACATGACAGAAGCTCCCTCTGCTTCAAACCTTCTGTTGCTACTTCCTCCATCTCTCCATGGAAATGCAGCAGTGCCATTAAGAAGTTCCCAGTCAACATTTATAAATGCCATCCTGAGAATTATCAGAGCAACCTAACAGGTAGCAGACAGCCCCGTCTTTCTCCCACACGCGCGCGCACACACACACACACAGACACACATTCCTACAAACCAAAAGTAGACTATAGTGATCAAATTAAACAAAAATAAGTATCTTACTCGTGACCCTTTAAGTTCTAACTGTATGATCCTTTTAGAAAGTTTTAAATATATTTTGTATCCCATTGTCTTTATAGGAGCCCTTTATTTTAATACCGTCTGAAGATTGAAACTGGTTAGAACATCCAGTAAAGTTGACCTTTTATATTTTTTGCAAAAAGACAATAAAAAATAGGTTTTAAGAGACTTGTATTTTCAGTATGTGGGCTGTTAAATGGTCTCCCTGTAGTCTGAAAGCCTGCCTTCGGCTGCAAGCTACTTAAACTACGGAGAATGCAGGGATCCACACACGCACACACACACACGCACGCACACACACACACACACGCGCACGCTTTTTCCCTTTCATTCTTTCCCTGTGTATCCTCTCACCTCTTGTTCTTATAATGCCACTTTATGTTTCGAGCTTGATAGATGAAAGCAGATAAGACTTTCTCTTTATAAAATCAAATAAAAAATGTATTTTTCATATGTTAGGAATTGACAAGTCTCAAGCCTCATTAACAATGACGTAATCACCAATATAAAAAGTGAAGTAAATTACAGTTTTTCATCCAGCCCATACAGTACAAAAAAATAAAAAAATAAAGATTATTCATCTAGTCAAATAAACACAAAAACAAGACTGCCCAAAGAAACTTAACTTAGTCAATACAAAAGTAAGGAAAAGTGTCTCTCTACCAAAAGTCTAGCTAAACGTGGCTTTCCTTTTACAGCTGATGAATATGCCAAGCTGATATTGAACTGAGAAGGGATGCAGTTATTATTGGACAAATGAGGCCCATGAGTGCAGACAAAAACATACACACTGAGGTTATGCTGGTACTCTCTCTTGCCAACATGCATATTTACATGCTATAGACAGATAGAAGAGAGGAGGGAGACTGGGAGGGATGAAGAATGCACAGATGAGATTTCAGCAGCTCGAAATCTCTGTTTCTCCACTTCACTGTAACAAGCTACTAATTAAAACAGCTTAGAGGGAGGGGGAGGGGGAGACAGAGTTAGAGATGATTGCCTCCTGCATAATCCTATAATTACCACAGTCATAAAAAACAGTCACTCTGTCAGTCTAATGAAGAGATGTGTTCACAATTACTCTCAGAAAGCTCTCCTGATACTCAACACACCGCGTCAAATATTTTTTCTAGATGTCAAACTGTGCTCAGATATTTGAACAAATCAACAGTGAAAAGATCTTCAAGTGTTACTTTTTCAACCAATTAAGCTGCAAAATAAAAATGGTGACAGGACTAACGGAACATTGGAATGATGCTACATATGGTGATTCCTCTGCATAAGCTCATATGAATGATTCGATGTATGACAAATCAAATGTTGAATTTTTTTTTACAACATACCACAGATTTATATATCCATAAGAGAAAATGTATCTGCAAAAAAACCATCCACCAACATATCTCAGAAGCAGATGAGATTCAGTGGGATCTCTGTCTACATGTGTGTCCTCACCTGCCACTGATGGTGATCTCATTGATGGCATAGTATCTGTGTCTCTGGTTCACCCCCGCTGCCCTGCTGTTGGATTGTCCACTCAGGTGTATCCTGACCTGGGTGGCATGTGCCATCTTCTGCAGAGCAGGGGTGTTGTAGAAATCGTTATATCCCGGACGCAGGTTTGGCTCCGGGGTCAGCAGGCTGAATATGATGTTACCTCCTGAGAAGGGTAAATCGCTGAAACACAGAAACATAAACACACATTGTGCCAGTTATGTTAGAGGTATGTGTCTAGATCACAACTTTGAAAACAAACTAATCCAAGGGTTCATTAGAAAGAGTAATTTACAATATATATTTGAGTAAAACTAATACATCTGAACTGATATACCAGATTTTTTAAACTATCAAATATAAATATAATGGTATCAGCCTTGAAGTCCAACATCGTTCAGGAAATAGTGTCCAATAGAAAAACAACACAGCTAAACACACTATATGAGTGTCATTGCAAAGACAAAATCAACTTGACATCTTCTTTTTTTCTAAAGTAGAAATGACCTCAAATGTAGCTGAAATCATAGACAACAAACAATCATTCAGTCCGCTTATTGAAGCCCTTACCTCCTCCGATAATCCTGGGAGAGCACCCACATTTAAAAAAATTAACCCCTAACAAATGACTGCCACTACTGATATTTCATAGATTTTTTGGTGGTGATTTTTTGGTGGTGATTCTGAACACAGTGTTGGGTCAATAACCTTGTCAAAAAAGATGTACTGTAAAAAAATACACTTTTTATGGATATACTTGCAGAATAACTGTACATTTCAGCCAGAACCCAGAGCACAAACCAAAATATTGTAAATCAAATGTGAATTGGCAGCAGTTCTACAGCTGTAATCGATGAATTAACTCTACAACAGGAGCACCCCACATACGTGCATCTACAGTAGGTGCAGCAGGTTCCAGCTCTTTCTTTCTATTGCTCTGGGCAATGCTTTTTATCTGACAAAAATACCTGTTTACTTGTTTATCTGTACATGTAGACAAGATGCAAAAGGATCACTTACAGCACTCCTGGAGCAGTACTGTAATTGACTGGTGTGAAAACACCTGAAAGACTGAGGCGTGCTTGAATTTATCTTGCCAGACACTCCAGAGGCCTCAGAGGAGGCAATGTCTCTTGTGGGATTAAATAAATCTTGTTAGATAAAAAACATAAATCTTTCAAGATCAAAGACAGTGCTCTTTTTATCAACCACTAATGTCACAGAGGGTGTTATTATGTTGCCCATGTGAGGTTCAATTGCTCTCATGCCAAATTAACTAATATGTATAACTGTGCCAGGAAAGGTTGTATGTGATATAATTTGTCAATCAAGTGAAAAATAAGCAATGACTACATAATCTGTGATCTATTCATACCTGTTCTATCTAATGCCAACCAAGACCTTGATACAAGCAGCTCTGCCAAGATTCAGTGTGTGAGAATGTGTGTGTGTGTGTGTGTATGTTAAGACTATTTTCCAAGGCCAGTTCTCCATCTAGTGCCAATGGAGAGCCTGTTACCGGTCATGTGCCAAAGCAGCACTGTAGGTGGTTAGCTTTAGAAACCTAGTCACTGAGAGCGTGCCAGGGTGTGTGTGTGTGTGTGTGTGTGTGTGTGTGTGTGTGTGTGTGTGTGTGTGTGTGTGTGTGTGTGTGTGTGTGTGTGTGTGTGTGTGTGTACTTTATCTATGTGTTATGGGTATCTGTTTGATTTCCTTTGATTTCTTTTGACTTGTGTTCTGTGTGTGTGTTTGTACTTTTTTTATTGAGCGTTGCCAGTCATTTTTGTGTAATCTCCTCTACCATAAAGAGGCCATGACCACCCAGCAGCATATTCTCCTCTGGGGTGAATGCCACAAACAGTGTGACAGACTGTTTGAGGTGTTTATTTTAAGTTTTCTCATGAAGATGATTAAAAGTAGTTTCAAACCGGATGATGATGCTTATTAAAATTCATTAAAAACCGTGCTTAGCATCCTGCTAATCACTAAAGATGCGTTTGCCCCACCTGATTGCCACAGAATTAATAATATGTTTTAGTTTTTAATTATAATTTGCTTTATCAAGTTGTCGTCCAGTCAAAAATGTAAACGCTTCAGCCAGCTAAAGGATTGTTCTCCTTCTTTGAGAGTGTACAATGTAGCCTATTTTTTGGACTCAATTCAGTGATAAAAAAACAAACATGTTAGGTCCTTGTTCTAAGATTGTGTAAACTTCAAAAATATTTACAGAGTATGATCTTTTTTTCCCTTTTTACCATCAGGTCAATAATAGTGACTATTTTTCACACCCACTCAGCTGTGTACATGGTACCTACCTGGACAGCTGCAGACAGTTGACTGAGTCTGGCCTCAGCAAAGGCCCGTTGTTCTGCATTTCAAACACACTGCAGTTGTTGGCCATATATTGCCAGTCCAACCAGGGCTGTTCTGTGGCAATGCCACTCTCAAGTTCTGCAATGTCAAGCCTCCGTCTTTGGATCAGAACGGACTCAGGCAGGAGCCCGCCAAACTGAACTATAACGTAAAATATCTGGAGGAAAGGGGAATACAAGTTAGCATGAATAGAACCAGATGTACTGCAATCCAGAACCACAGAAATGCAATTAATTATTCTATTGTTGTGTTGAGGCTTTGCTCACACTGTCAGACATATTTATTCACCTCTATGGTAACTTTTGAGGTCATAGTAAAAGGGGCATTTGTTTTGCATCAAATTATTTTGTTTTGTGTAATTAATTCGTAATGGTATTGAAAAACCAGAAAACAAATTGGTCAATTACTGTTCATCGCATCAAATCCCATTTTATGAAGATCTTGTGCAGTCTTAGTCTTTTTCAAATGGTAAAATGTGAGTGGTAGTAGTTTCCTATAGCACATGAACTGTGTGTGTGTGTGTGTAGGTGTGTGTATGTGTGTTAAGTGTTATCTGCCCCTCTACAGTGTGGGCTGGGACACTGGGTTACACAGCAGGGAGCGCATTAAGCCACCAGCACTGCGCAATCCCAAACACACACACACACACACACAACCGGAACTTCAGAAAGTGTCTTTTATCTGGGGACTTGAGTTGAGCTACCGCGTCAGGACAGCTCCCAAAATCCTGCCCACACTCACATACACACTTCAGAGAAAAGAGGGACGAGCCTTTTGACAGCCCCAGTGTCGTCAACGCCCAAATCCAGCAATATCTCTCCCTCCCTCCCTCCCTCTGCCCCCCCGTCTGTCTCTCACTGCAGTGCTTAGAGCGAGGATGAAACTACTGTCCACCACAGGTGCAAGCAGAAAGATACTACAGCGTTTGTGTTGTAGCATTTCAACTGTACACTCCACAACGATGGAATTTAGTTGACTGTCCAACCCACAGTAGCTAGCATTGAAGTCAGGGGGCTGATACAGCATTGAAAAGACACAATGATCCAAATAACCCTAAATCTGAGGGGGCCAACACTTGTTATCCCACATTGCCTCACCACTGGGACCACGATCCCATGTGGATCTCATGCTCAGCGTTGGAATAAAAAGGATTGGATTAACAATCATTGGGATACTCTAACCTCATTGCACACTTTGACGCCCACTTCAAGCCCTCTTAAAAATTGTATTTTTTGTAATAATGCTTTAATAAAGACAAGATAAATACAGCACTATGCATGCTTCTCCGTTTGAATATTGATAGTTAATATTGCAGTGAGCACTTTAGAAATCATTTCTGTTTTACATGGTATATGAAACTACAAGACTCCTTTATTTGTTAGTTATAATGTAGGTAAAAAATGCAAACCGGCATGAATGGCCGCTAGGGAACAACTAGGGATTTGCTAGCAGTCTGTGTGGGGGCCAATGGTGTCAAATTATAATAATGTTGTGTTTAAATTCTGTAAGTGTGATTCAAACATATGTCAACAGAATATGTTGTCTATTGTAAGGATAGAACCCAAGGCCTGACAGATACAGGCTGGTATCTTTACTTGTCCATTTTACTGGCTGATGTCAATTTTCGGATAACAATACCGACATCCACACAGCATCATTGAATGATTAATTGATTTAATGATACATTCAATTAACACACTTTCAGGCTGAACTTAAAGTTCATATATTATATGTGTTACTTGCACTGGACACCAATCTATCTGTCTGTCATTATTGTGAGATAATATATGCATTTGCTCAGTTGCGTGAGTGTATTTTTTAGATGTGTTACCTGGTATTGTCCATTCACCAAATCCACGGTAATAGTGAGTCCTTCATCCAGTTCCTGTGTAGTCATGATCTTAGAGAGCCATGTGGTGCCCATGTCCTGATCATTGATGTAACTGAGTGGATGGGCATTTAGGTTGAGTCTTAGGACTCTGTCATTGGTGGTGTCCTCAACACCATTGGGAATGCAGTATCTGTTAACAGTGACAATGTTTTTTTACAGGGTACTTTTCTGAACCCTCAAGAGTGAAACTTCAGAAACATAAAAAAAAACTTTTGTACATTACTGAAATGTTTAAATATGCAGTCATGTTATATTAACACAATACATTTTGATACTTTACCTCTCAACTAAAGGGTGCACTCTGGGGTGACTGGGTGGACAGCGACACTCTGCCTGGGCATGGAGCTCGGGCAGGAAACCGGAGTAAACCTCAACTATTTCCCTGTAAAAACAAGAAACATCCGACTAAGTAACTCTAATGCTAAACACTGAGGAGAAATATTATCCTATTCATTATAATCTGGGATGAGGGAGGGGCCAAATTGCTCACATTGCTTAATGATTGAGCAGTTTTTATTATTTTACTGGCTATCTTTTAAATCTGAAACACCAAAGGAAAAAAAAATATGATTTCCAAAATGCAGGGTATTTACACGTAATACAATCTGACATGTGCAGTGATGATTATGATGAACAAAAATGACAGTTACCAAACAAGGTTTGTAATAACTTAAATGTTGACGGGTCTTTTACTGGACATTTAGAGTAAAGTGGAAAATCAAAGGCATCATTTGAAAACTCAATCTTTCATTTGTCTGGTCCCAATCTTGATGAGAGGAACTTGTAAGATCCAAGTCCTCACTGTGTGCAGTACATCACTGGTAAGCAAAACACTAATTGCCTCGTATTGAATTCTCAGGAAAATCCTCTGGAAGCAGTATGGATCTTAAGATGCAACGATTAGCCTTCCCCTTCTTTGCTCGGACCATCTTTCCCTTTATCGCTCCATATGGCTTCTCTTCTCTTGTTTCTTTAATCTTTAAAGTATCTCTGTCTATTTCTTCTCATTTCTATTCCTTTCCTTTATTCAATCCATCTATAGCTACCACTTCACCTCCTTATTTCTATGACAATCACGATTATTTTTCCTTCCTTTATCACCTTTTCTTTCACAATATTCCTTTAATTTGGTCCTTCTTTGATCCATGCCTCTTTGTATCCCCCAGAGCTGCTCATTACCTGTCTCTATGCCTTACTTTATCCAACTCACCTGTTGGTCAGAGTGGCAGGATAAAATCTAAAGTCCTGCATCCGGCCAATGAACTGATTAGACCCTGGAGAGATGAAAAGAGAGGAGAAAGGAACATAAAGAAGGTGTTAATGGGTTTGTACTGAATGCAGTGAGTGAGCGGATTTCACAGTGTTTAGTAGATTATCTTATCAGTTTCTTAATAGCAGCTAAGTGAGGCTTCCCCGGCTGCTAATAATGGACAAGTTCATGACACAAAACCAAACAGGATCAGCCACAGTCTATTTTTGCTTCCAAAGCAGAAGGGCGTTTAAGGACAAATGCATATTCTGGACATTATATAACCTATATTCCTAAATCTAAAAGAAGATCTTAAGATATTAGGCTGCAAATAAAACAGTTTCTGACCCAAAACTCCCTTTTGCAAAATAAATATTTTGTCCAAAAAACTGTTCTAACAACAAGATATTCAGAACAAACTACTTTAGGGCATTTTTCTTGACAAATCTAAACTGTTACAGGTGTCTACTAATAATTGTTTAAGTCTAATAGGTTACAACATGTTACATTATAACAGGAGAAGAAAACTGTGAAAGCTGTCGTTGAAACGTTGAAAAGAAAGGATCTGCAAAGAGGTAAATGTTAGACAAGAAATGCCATATATATATAAAATATGCCAAGATACCAAAGTCTGAAGCAAAGTATACACTGGAATATCTCGCACATATAAGTTCAATGTCCAGACACACATGTGGATATTGGACAGAACACAGGGAACACCATCAAACACATAACAGAACAAAGGCAAGCCCCCCATCTCCATACACAAGCATACATTCATGACAATGTTGGACAGGACACAAGAGACCCACACAGACGGTGATGCTGGTCCAACGAGAGCCGGGGTCCTAAAGCGTCCAACAAACTTCTGTCTAGTTTGACAACAACTCTTAGAAGACGGATAACGTCTCTGAGCATCGACAGAACCCCTGCCATGTCTAGCTTTGTCTGTGAAAGTGTGTGTGTGTGTGTTAGAGGCTTTACCGTGTGTATTCCCCCAAAAAAAGGAAACATCCTTACTTTAGAGAGTGTATGAGTGTTTGTGCATTTGTGTGTGTATTTGCATTTGAGAGAGGCTTTGCCATGTTTGGCTTAACTACAATGTGAGCATGTGTGAGTGTTGGAGGGGTGTATGTGAGTGTAAAACAGAGAGAAAGTGTTATGGGATGTAAGTGTGTTCGAACAGTGTGTGGTTGTGCAGCCTTAGGCTTTGGCTCAGGATTTCTTTGACGTGTGGAAATGGGATTATGTCTTCCTGTGAAAAGCACTCTCCCTATTGTTACTGGGATGATGCAAGGTATAAGCTTTAATTCTCTCCTCTCTGTGGAGGTATCGGTCTTCTCTCTCTGTGTTTCAGTTCCTGTCATCCCTCTGTTTTTCAGTTTCCTCTTCTCTGTTTCTGTCGTTAGAACTGATGGCAGTTAATACAGGCAACTAGGATTTGAGTTGGAGATTTATCTCGGTTTTTTTCTCTCCGTCCTTGAATGCTACTGTTACTCTCTGTAACAGCAAAAGCAAATGGTTAGACAAGTCAGAAATGGTTCATGCTAAATGAACTGCGATAATATGCTCTTTCTTCCAAGGCGCTTTACAATGCAATGGCAACAATGGAGCAACTAGTGAATAATTGTACAGTGTAACAATACAAACTCCCATTGTCTCATATTTTAAATGAGATTAAATAACACACAGTACTGCTTGATTACATGCTGCATTGTTTCCAGTGAATTTATTGCGTGTGAGAAGACAATCTGTATTGACCATGGATATAGAAGAATCTGTCAGTAACAGTTTAAATTGGCATATAAATAATCCATTACATGATATGTAAATACACAGAATATAGCAGGGAACACATTGAAGATAAATAGTAGCAACAATGTTTGTATCAATATGTATATTGTTCGTGTAATTTCATGAACATCTAAAAGATGATAACTTTAAGGGGCTTTATTATGATACATTTGTAGCATCCAAACTGAAGCATGATTCGAGAAATCTCAACATCATACTATCAGTTGACTCATATTTTGTTTTAATTATTTGATACAACTGATGATGCTATCGTTATTGGCCACTTCAAAATGTATAGTGTTCTTATCAGATACTCAGTTTTCAGTTAAAAGGGTCCCCTCCAAAAGCAGACATAGTTGTTCATCAATACACCTGATCAGCATTCATATAATCAATCCACTGATCAGAATTCCAGACACAGACCCTAGGTTCAACACACACACACACACACACACACACACACACACACACACACACACACACACACACACACACACACACACACACACACACACACACACACACACACACACACACACACACACACACACACACACACACACACACACACACACACACACACACACACACACACACACACATCACACACACACACACACACACACACACACACACACACACACACACACACACACACACACACACACACACACACACACACACACACACACACACACACACACACACACACACACACACACACACACACACACACACACACACACACACACACACACACACACACACACACACACACACACTCCCTCGAGCCAATCACTTGCATTGATCACGACCACTGATGTGATCTTCAGCTGATCAGATGCTACCTGCCTTGAACTAGGGATCAATGCCTGATAAACGAGAAGAAAAACACTCGTTTATCACTCAGGAGATGAACGGATATCATTTTTCTCTCAATTTCTCTCCTATTGACTCTGAGACGGCTCCCAGGCACCACCAATCAATCACAGATGTGTAGTTGAAGGAGGATAAAGGCTGGGAGGAGAATAAAGGTGGAGTAGTCATTGACACCATATTTAGATATACAGACAAGATAAACAAAGAGGTAATTTTTCTCCCCTTGGAGAAAGACAGCGGCCCCGTTGAAGGAGGGATGTAGATGGGACTGATTTCAAGTCAGAAAAACAAACATTGTGCATTGCAATATGAGTTTTATGCTGCAGTTTAAACCTTTTTAAACATTGACAACATGTTTATTTTATCATTCCTGGGCTGGCAGTTCCTGGAATTGACCCAAATGTTTAAATTCAATTGATTTAAATACACAACTAAATAATTGTTGACAGTGAGGAATCTGAAAATCAAGCACCCTGTGAATCTGGATCTAATGCTTCTCTAAAACAATGTAATTTCTCAGAAAATGACAACAGAAAAATCAGCTAGCTTTACCGTTGGAGCTGAGTCCCACCCACATGGCACCGTCCTCGCTGATATCAGAGAGCCTGCCGCTCAGAGACTGTGTGTCAAACGGGGTCCCATCCTCCTCAAGCCCATCTAGGAATAGACTCACATGTCTGTTATGAACCTGAAAATCATTCAATTTAAAAGAAAATTAAAAGGTGTCCTTAAACTGTGAATGCCACACTACCTCAACAAATCTAAATGAATCACAACAAACAATAAATAATTTTGTCTCCAATTTCCGAAAAGCGAGATCATTTGATTAAACAGAAAACGTTATTGCAGTCATACAATAGAGCGTGATGTTTCTTCTGGAAAAGCGCTTTTATGTTGTCTGTACAGTATTCTAGGTTTCAGAGGGAGAAAGTAAAAAGATGATCAATTAATAAGTGATATTAAGACAAAGCATCATTGAATACCATTAATAATTGTTTTTTGAGCACTGCCGTGGAACCTAAAAGCATGTAAGTGAGCTGCCTGAGGGGCAGATGCAGCAGAAAGGCCCAGCAGCAGGTGACTGCTGTAACACACTGCTGCTCTGAGTGTGCATATGCGCATCTATCTACAAAAGTATATGCACAGACCAATGGTGTGTTTTTGGATATCCATGCATGTGTGTGTGTGACCATGTGTGTGTGAATTATACATACAGCTAATCTTCCAGCTCATTTCCCCAGTAGCAGAAAGAGCCTCAGGCTAAACTGCCTCAGCCGCAAATTAGCTTTCTGTTTGACCAAAAATCTCCTCTACACTCCTTTCCTCTCCATTCCCGATCTGCTGCATGAATATTAAAAACTGCACGGCAGACAACATCGTCAAAGTGGGAGCAGCTACCTTTCACATCAAACCCAGGGAAAAAGAAAGATACCACCATAAGAGGGGCTTCCCCCCCCCCCCCCCCCAAAAAAAACTTTAATGTGCCCTGTGCTACTCTCTCCGTTCTGCAAATCCTGTGTTTGGGAGACACACTGTGGGACCACTGATAAACGAGACTCTCCCTGTCTTACCAGAGTCCCCCTCTCCTTCTTCATCTTTCTGGTCTCTCTTCTGCTCTGGTGCTCCTTGCTTTGTCCTTACTCTTCCATACGAGGTCATTTCATTCCTTTCAATTTTTTCAGTTTTACGAATTCTTTCACCTCATTTTTATTTGCTCTTGCTTATTTTTTATAACCATCTTTATTTTCTCCTCCCTCTCAGTTGACGACTTCCCCCTCTCATCTCCCTTCCTGTCTCTTCCCCTCATGTTTATCTTGCCCTGTCGCTCTCACTTGTTGTCAGCTCTTTAGGGAAGTTGAAAAGGTGTGAGGAGGGAAATAAGTCCAAGTCAAAAAACGCCTTTAGGGGATAAAGGCAGGCCCAGACAAGTGTCTGCCTCTTAGAGGATAGTTAAGACGCCCAGACAGACACTTTCATGATGGCTGATTGAAGACTCGCAAGCGCATAAGAGCAGAAGAGAGCGCAGGAGAGAATAAGAGTGAATAAAAAGAAAGAGACAGGAGGGAGAAGAAGAAAAGTCAGGCAGCGGGTGTAAGAGAGGGAGCTAGAAGAAGGGCCCTCTTTAGGAATCTCTAAGCCGGAGCTGTGTGGCTCTTGGGGAGATGTGAGGCAGTTGTCAGGCCTGATGTAAATGAATCCTGAAGCGCTTCATCCTCCTTAGCCGCCACGCGCCCTTTTGAAACGCAGCCAACTCCCCTTTGTTAGCTTTCACAAACACTTTCCCTCTGTTTTCCCTTTGCCCGTCCATCTGTATTTTTACCTCCTCCTTCCCTCTACCTCTCTTTGTCTCTTTTAGCCAGTGTAACTTCTGAGTTCTTTGAGATTGGGAGGAAAAAAGGAAAAGGAGTTAGAGAATTCTTTAGTGTTAACTAGTCTCATTTGGACTGTGTCCACTAAGTCCAGAGGAAAGGAAATGACTACTTTAAACGTTACCTATCGCCTTCCTTTAATACAGAGGATATGATTTTGTGAGGACTTTTAACTTAAGCCTTTTTTTCATAGTAACATTACTGCGTGTATTTTTAAGATATACTTAACTATAATAGAGCTGGCACAATTTTTACAATTGAATTTTGGGAATCACCATTATACAGTGAATAGTAGTGTATGGTATATTTTCAGTATAATGGTGTGCTCGTTTAACATCACTTTATCGACATGTTATTCTACATGCCAAATCATTATCGTTTAATGTCCAGACGTCACCCATATCACCAAAGCTGAAGTTAAAGGAGAGGTGTCATGCTTTTCCAGTTATTACCCGTCCCCTTGTGTGTTATGAAGGTTTTTATGCATGTAAACGGTGTGCAGAGTCAAAACCCTCAAAGTACACCCTGTAGCGAGTAAAACTCTAACACAGAAAATACCTCCCCAAAACGCCTCGTTGGAGATACGTCATTGTCCATTTGATTCTTCCGGGATGGCATGATGTCAAGCCGTACCCGGAACGAAATGGACCAATCCGTGGAGCCGTTACGTTACGTCCGCGGAGCCGTTACGTTAAGCCCCCGCTGATTGGTCCAAATTGACCAATCCACGGACTTCCTCACACACACATCTGTGTGCAGGGAGCAGGCAGCTCAGCTGATTTCTCCTCCCTGGCTGCAGGCTGATAACAGACAGTTGGGATCGCGGCGAAATTCTCTCTGCAGACCCATTCTCACAGCGTTTATCAACCTTTTTCTTACTCAATATCAAGCCACACTTATTGTTTTTAATTCGGATGTGAGTTTGTGTGTGCTCAGGATGAGTTTGGCTGTGTTTCGCTATGTATCCTAAACAAGGAAACAACACCTCCACGGAGCTCAGCGCGATTCACAACGTCCCGACCAATCAGAGCACACTGTGCTCACAGGGAGGGTGGGGGCTGGAGCTTTGGGAGCTACAACGAGCCGTTAAAGGCAGAGAGTGAAATTCAGTGAATACACGTAGTTTACAGAGATGCTGTATGAGAAACCAATGTGAGTTTGGAAAAATGCACAATATAAATCTATTTTAGTATACCTCAACAATGGAATTATGATCAGTGGAAATGGCCATGACACCTCTCCTTTAAATGTTCCTTAATGCAATATCTAAAAAGAGACGATGATATGTCAATTTCCGTATCATGTCAACCAATGCTACAGGACATTCATTTGATACAAACATGTTCCATTTTGTATTAATATGAAGAACATGTGTTTCTGCTGTTTCGCTTTCCTTTGAAATTATCTAAAACTCTATATGTTAGGATAATAGCTGTGAATAGGGAGCGATCATTTCAGCAGGGTTTAATCTTGGGCCATCGGGATATTGAATCCAACCCCTGCACCACCTGGGGTCTCTGCCACCATTCATGGCTCCATTCGCACCTGGCCTGGCTGCACGCTGTTGTCTCCTATAACATTACTGCAAAAAAACAGGAACTAAGTATATATTATCAACACATTACATTTGACCATATTATTTGTCATTTTAGCTACAGTTATTTTCTGACATATGCAATTCTGTAGACAAAGTGGTCACTCTTGAATTGACCATGTACTGCATCATCACCTAAAGAAAGAACTAAAGGTGTTTTACCCGACTATTGAAAAATGTAATATAATATGTAAACTTATTTTTTTGTTTTCTTCTTCTGAGTAAAGTTACATTATTAACCTTTCCTTATTAAACCATTTCCTTCAAAAGGCTCCTGTGCTCTGGGGAGTTTCAAGCACCCAATCCTGTGCACCACCCACCCCACTGGCACTGTTACCACCTAAGCCCCTCTAAAAGCCCAGGGAAACCCTGAGTGGAAAGCTTTTAGTGATCTGTAGACTGGCATTTTGACTAAAGCTCTTCTCGATTTTCACACTCGTGCCAAGCCATGGCTCAGAAACACAGTGTGGACAGCAGTGTTTCTTCTAAGCTCACTTTGTGGGACACAAAAAAGCAAGAGGTGGTAAAGAAAATATTAAGGAAATTAGCCCAAGTTGTCTTTGCCAGTCATACAAAAATATGCAATCAATAAAAGATTACAAAATATAACTGTAAAGAACTTTTACTTATGTAACCACCATGGAACAAACATGCAACTGTCTGTATCATGCAGATTAAAATGTGTTGCATTGTAAAAGGAAAAAGGAAAAGTCATTTTTTAAATATTGTTTACATCACAGGCTAAAATTCTGCATTTTGTATGACTGAGAGATTATTTTGCAATGGTAAAATGTGGGATGGTTTGTAAATAAGTAGATTTCTAACAACTAACTTCCCCAGTTGGTAAGGAGAGGAATTAGGCGTCTATGGGCGACACTTCCTTATAACCCTTTAGGTCCTTTTTTGTGAACTTGATCAAATAGCTCAGTCCACACAATAATTACAGGCATTATTTTTAGGTAAATACAAATGGATGAGGTGTATTTAAAAGCTGTATTAACTATCAATAATTGTATTAATGATTATGTGTCTTTGTTATGTCTCATTTCATAGCTTTCATGACATGACATAAGATGGTTCTTGAAGTAAAACTAACTGTCTTACTCTATTTGGAGACCAGACTAAAGCTTTTCAATTTATCATGGTCCAGGACAGGTTAACACACATACATTCCTCTGAATGATTCTCATTATTCTAAACAGCCAGGAGTTATCCAGACATCTGACATGTTGCCATCAGTGTCAGACATTACAGTCACATTTCACTTAAATGTAGAGAAGAGCTATCACAGCTGCGAGTGACAGTTTGAGGTCAGGGTAGATGAGAGGGGCCTTAAGGAGGACTAATACCGGAAACCAATTCTAGATACGTGTTTTCTGCTGTCTGATTTGTTTATTAAGTACTAAAGCAATGCAAGGCCCTCTGAAGGAGCTTAATGTTCTCTATGTGTTTGAGTGTGTGTGTGGATGCAACACACTGACCTTTCTCACAGAGGATACTATTTCCCCATGTTGCACACAGTTCACATCTACCCAGTTCACCTTTTTCTGATCAGTCCCTCTGCTCTACTTTAGTAATTGTACTTTTACTGACACGATGAAACACATTTAAACAAATGACATCTCGGTCTTACAGCATACTGGCAATTCTCTCTATTTCTTTAACGGGGAACATGCACTCAACAAACAAATAAACAAAGAAATTGTTGACAAAGTAGAACGGGCC